ATATAAGACTTCTAACAAGTCTTATACTCTATCTTAACCTCTTGCATAAGCTTTTCCACTCTTCAATTATCCCTCTAACCTCACAAAACACTTCTTATAATAATAGGAGAATCTCTTATGAAGTTAAGTATATGAAAGCACAAAGTTAGAGCACCAAGGATGAAACTCAGCAAAGAAATACAATACTTAAGTTCTAAAACATCATTAAATGGATTCTAACAACAATCAAGACTATCAATGCACTTAACAATAAATAAGAGCAAAAACTACATCAACAACTAGATGCATAAGAAGGGTTAGAAGAGAGCAAACTCAAACTTCAGCAACAACCATAAGATCTATTCCTCACAATAAGAAAGACTTTAAAGTACTTCAAAACTCACAAGTAAAGGTGAGTGGACCCATAACCTATTGAAGAACAAGTACTTTGAAGACACAACACCTAGCATCATCAAGGTTGCACACAAAGAAAGTATGGAATAAGATATCTCTCACTTCCTATACCCATTACTTATAGGTAGTGGTTGTTGCCCTAAAAGACAACTTCTACTCTTTGACTTTGACACACGTGGCCCTAGGATCCTTTTGGCATCTCACAAGCATCGAAGGTATCCTATGACACATACTAATGACTCATACTTAGTCTTTGGATATTTCCTTGTTAATACTTTATCCTTTTGACTTTGACTCTTGGTCCATAGCTTCGTCCTATATCCATTGGATGTCCTTACCATATACCAAGAGTCAAACCTTTGGCCACTAGCAACTTACCTAAGTTAATATCCTCTATAAGATAACTTATTCTACTTTTATTTTAACAGATATAATTTTTTATTTTTATAATATTAATATTTTATAATAGTATATATATTAATATAATATTATTTTTTATAAATAGTATATATGGCATATTTTATACTATTTACAAAAAATATCACATATAAAAAAATAATTAAACTTCTTCTTGACAATAGCTATTGCTATTATAGATTTTCAAAGAATATTATATCAAATTAAAGACTCAAATTGTATCTAGGTTTAGAAGAATTCTTCTCAAGTTATTGTTAGTAGAAATTAAACTATCTTTGACCTTCCATCTTTAACTTTATAGATAAGATAAATACATAAATTAAATATTAGAATAGTATTTAAAATGTACTATCAATTATTATTAAGATAATTAAATAATTTTTATTCAATAAGAAAAACTTGTAAAAAATAATATGATACATTCTTTTATTCAATAATAATATTTTTATTCTAATTATGATTATCACCTATAATATGAACTTTTGACTTTAAAAAAGTTTATAATCTTATAAAAGATTAGGCAAATTATTTATCAAAGCTACATTCAATAATGAAGTTATAATAAAAGAAAGCTAAAGAACAACAAAAGATCAACATAGATATTTATCACAATAAACAACCTTAATTTCATATTGGCAACAAAGCATAGTTATTTTGTCATAATATTAAGACTATTTGTCATTATAATAAATTAAGTTATTATAGACTTAAATTATTTTTATTTGTAAAGAGATTAATTTTATTGCATATTGATTACACATATTGAAATCTATAAAGATCCATCATATAATCCATATGTATCTTCTTGAGCTACATAAGACAATAGATATATTAAGAAGAAGACAAATGTCACTTTTCTTTTCTTTTTTTCTTTTTTTTTTTTTTTTTTTTTTTTTTACAAAAATAGAAAATTTTTAAGAATTTGAAATTAAAGAAGTCTTAGATTTAATGTGGTGCCAAATTAGATGAGAATATCTTATACATAGGCATAAATATTATATTTACAAATGTACATATAAACCATCTAAAAATATTGTAAATATAATAAAGAATGTTGATGCTTTTTATTTGTAATATCTATCAAAACCAAAATGAAGAGTCATAGGATTTTTTGCTATAAAATAAATGAGATTTAATATCAATATTATTTTATCTTTTATTTTTTATTTTTTTATATTTTTCATGTTAATGAGATGAAAAATCAATAATTAAGAAATTGAAGTCAAGAGCTATTGTTTGCTAAGTTATTGAAGAAAGCATTGAGATTGTTTCAACATTCAAGAGAATGTAACAAAAATTAAGATCCTCAAGAACATGTTTTTTTCAAATAAATCGCAAGATAAAAGGTGTTTGGTATAATAACCTTAAAAATAACTTTTGATGTTTAGTAATACAATTACAGGTAGTAACTATTCTTAATGGTATTCCAAATGATTTATTTGAAGAAAGTTACAAAGGTCTCAACTGAAAGGCCTTTCTTACTCTTATCAAGGCTTTTATTTTTCTTAGCCTTGTTCCAAGAATCTCTAGTCTTCTTATACTTGGCAATAGTTATTTTAATTTCTATCTTATGCATAAGATATAATCTAAAGAATAAAAGTAAACAAATATTACTTTTATAAATAAAATTTGTGATTTATATCTTAATATCATGCTAAGACAAGGAAAATCACTCAAATTAATAAGGTTATGTCAAAACTTCCTCTAATTTTGGCAATTTATGATATTTTTCTTGCAATTGCTAAAATGACAAGAAAATAGAAAGAGGAAATATATACTATATCTAAGATGACTTTGGAGCATAATATTATGCATATATGGCAAAACATGTGCTACCATGTTGTTGAAAATTGTCTATTTTGATATATGAAATCCACAAGTATGGAAGTAAGTTATTACTTCACTTTTACTGAAAAATTCTTTAAAAAAAATTGGATTTATATTCTTAAAGCCAAGAGAGAATATTTTCAGAGATTTAAATAATTTAAAGCTTTTTTTGACAAATAAAGTGAGTCCAAGATCAAGATATTGTATATAGACAATAGAAGTAAATACATGTCTAAGCAATTTGATGTTTATTTGAAGAATAAAGAAATTCTTAAACAAACCATAATTCCATATATTTTGTAATAAATGGTGTTGCTGAAAGAATAAATTATACTATTGTAGAAATAGCAAAAAATATGTTTCATGCTTAAAACCTTAATTATGAATTTTGGAGCAAAATTGTTGTAAATATTGTATTTACAAGAAATAGATGTCAAATTAATACTTTAGTATCAATGACATCACAATAAGCTTGGAGTAGAAGACTACCTTGTATTTTAGATATGCAAAACTTTTAGATGCATTGTGTATGCAAAGATACAAGATCATATGATATCCAAACTTGATGCAAAAGATACAAAATGTGTGTTTTTGGATTGATGTCAAGGTACCAAGGTACATAGGTTAATATTTTAGGATAAAAAAAAAAAAAATCATCAAAAGTTGTGATGTTGAGTTTTTGAAGCTCAAGAATGCTTGTGAGTGCTTTGAGATGTATCCAAGTATATGTATAAGTATATTGAGTTTTGATTGTCTTCAAACAAGAATCATCTTTATTCTTATTTTTTTAGCTATCTCCCTTCTTACAATAAAATTTATCCTTCTCTTTTCCAATCTTATCTTTTCATTTCTTATCATTCTTAGCATGCTCCTTAGGCTTCTTTACATTGGCTAACTTAAGCTTAGGATGAAGGATCCAACATTTAGTTGCAAGATGAATAGAAGATCTATACTTTAAGCAATATTTTCTTAAGGTGGTTTAGGTATTACTTCACTTCTACACTTACTAGTTCATAATATGTATGATATAGCTTCTTTAGTACAAAGAGACTTATCCTTTTCTATGGATTTAGAGGCTCTGTTTATTAAAGGCATAACCGCCTATTTTCTTACCAAATTAATTGCAATAGAATTTGTAGCCAAAAATACATATTCCAAAGTAAGTGGATTGTTAGGAAATAAGTTCAATACTCTAGCTCTAACCAAGTTTTTGATCTCTAAGTCAAGAATATTATATCAATAGTATGTAGCTTAAGAAATAGTGACTCCTTCAATATTCTCGACTAACCTCTAAAGCCAATGATTAGCAGCATGGTAAGCACAATATTTTTTTAAAAATAAAAACTACTCTTATTCTTAAATTGTACTTAAAGATTGAAACTACAACTTTTATATTGTTAAAAATATTATAGTAAAGAAAAATTAAAAATTAATGCAATCTTAATAATTTATATATATATATATATATATATATGATGTTCTAAAAAAATAAAAACGCCTAATCAAAATTAATTTATTTTAATCTATAAGGTAAGATTGTTCTAAATATTTTAATCTATAAGGTAAGATATAAATATTACAGTTTTCACAATTATCTAAATGTACTTGTGTTATTACTATTTTTTGAAAGGAAACATAACCACTGTGGAAAACAAGGAGAAAAACTAAAAATGTTGAGCAAATTGCAAAAACTTTTGCCTTGAGTATATCATTCAAAGAACTACACGGTTTTTTACATTTTACAGTCTATAGTTCTTCACAGAACTGCTTAAAAGCAGTGGACGGCCATAGCCGCTTTTGTGGAGGTGAAATGTGCCATGTGTCACTTAATGAGAAGGAATGTCTAATAACTAAAATTGATACAAAGAAAATCTAATATCAATGTATCCACATCAAAGATCTTATTCATGTGTGGATCATAGCTGAGAATGTGCTCCAGACGACTTTCTCCTCAAATTAACCTTGTGAAACAATACTGTGACTGCATATCTCAATGAAGATATTGTCAATGACATTGAAAACAACACAGGATATGACAGTTGTGTTGCTGTGATGATATGATACAATAAAAATAGTCACTTCCTCGTTCTTCTAAAATCTTATTCTTCAGGAATATTACGATTTGCGTGCGTTGTCATCCACAAGTTGCGACACAAGAACAGTACATTCCGTAGATGAGGAGGGATATTTTCACATTCTCTGCACATTGCCAATGCTATGAGCTCAAGAGCCGACTCTGTGTAAGAAGATTACGAATGTGCTATTCGGTGCCTGGTCGCCCCAGACGTCTCAATTCCGTGACGCGAGCTGCGCATGGGAAGCTGAAAACAAGCAGAAGTTAACTTTGACAAAACACCATGAAATGGATCCAAACCATGCAGTGAAGATTGTGTCTTGCAACGACTTCAAAGCAAGTGCGTTAGAAAGATTGGATGTGTCGCTTGGAGGCATAAGTCCCACTTCACGCAGCGATGGAGTAAACAGATTTACAGCTCCAAACGATAGCTAACGAGACAACGTGGAAACTGTTCAGACTACGATGCACATCACACAAGCTCACAGTTCGCAGAATACAGCAAACTGTAACAGAGTTGAAGTCGGTTCCATAGAGGAAGAGTCCTCCAATTTACGTCTGCAAGTCGGAAAACGGAATTTACTTTCAGACTACTGCATAATCACAATGCGACACAGAGTGGGCTGAAGAGGATGAGGTGAGGGGATATCGGCCGATTTCACAAAATCAGCTCTTCGCTGCTTCTTGTGGTGGCTTGTAGTACTTGGAGGGCACGAACGGCATCTTTGTGACAGTGGCGTCGTATGTCTTGGATCGCACAGCAAGCTTGACCTTGGTATTGTTCTTGTGATGACCAGTTGCGATGTAGCCCATAGAGATGTTCTTCTTCAGGCAGGGGCTGAATCCACCACTGGTGATCTCCCCGATATTGTTTCCTTCAAGGTCAAGGATCTCGCTGTGTGCTCGTGCTGGTGCGCCGGTGGAGATGAACCCAACTCTGCGCTTTGATACACCATCCTTAATTTGGCGTAAGATGGTTTCAGCTCCCAAAAAGTTGCCCTCTGCTCGGCGTCTCTTGCCCACGGTCCACGCAAGCCCTGCTTCAATGGGAGAAATGTGTTGCTCTAGGTCGTTACCGTACAGGCACAAACCGGCTTCCAAGCGGAGACTGTCCCGAGCTCCCAGACCAGTTAGGCGAATCTTTCCCTGACCCTTGTCCATGATTGCCTTTGTCAAATCGAGCGCAGATTCATCTGGCACTGAAATCTCAAAACCGTCCTCGCCAGTATACCTACATCCGCAGAACGTTGTGTTCAAGGACGACTCAATGTGTAGCAAAACTGGTTGAGCAGCTTATAGAATCAAGCTGGGTAATGCTAACTTCTCTGTTTATTTGGAGTAATACTCCAAATTCTAATAATGAAACCACAGACTCAGAGGTAACTCCAACTGAAGTTGTGCAACGGACGACAGACGATTTCATGCAACCTAACAAAAAAACAAAATAGGTTTGTCTAGAATATGATTAGGTAGCACAAGTGCAGCGAACTCTGCAAAATTTTGGAGGGGGTGACGACATACCCTGTGCGGGTGAGGAAACACTCGGAGCCATTGATGTCAATGACCTTGAAGTCACTGAAGTACATCTTGCTGAGATCCTCCTTAGTGAGAGTCTGCAGTATGTCGGCCGCCAGAGGCCCCTGCAAAGCCAATAAGGAGCGCTCATCGTGAATGTGCCACCCGACCGACTTACCGGTATCCTGGAAGGGTTTCAAATGCTTCTTAAGGTGGGCCAAATCTTTCTTACGACAACCCGCATTGACCACCAAGTAGATGTGATCGTCTGACACCTGAAATCAGAAAGGAAAACAAAGTGTGACCTCAGCAAAGGAATAGTGGAGCTGCCCAATGATTCCAAGGACTGAATTGCGCATCAAAGATTCGGTAAAAATAGTCACAAGGCGAAAATTGATTACACCGATCAATGCTGACATAGCATTAAGGCACGAGTGCGGCACCTTTGTGATGACGGTGTCGTCAATAACGCCTCCATTCTCGTTCGTAAACACGGAGAGCGTGCCAGTGCCAGGTGCGAGGCCCTTAATGTCGGCCACGACGAGCGTCTCAAGGAAGTCGATGGCATCAGGGCCCTTGAGGCTCAACCCACACATGTGCGAGACATCAAACAAACTGCCATTGGAGCGGCAATTCGTGGTGGAGTCCATGATACTGTCCTTGTACTGGATAGGCATCGACCATCCGGCGAAGGGGACCATCTTGCCACCATTCTCCACATGGTAATCGTACAACATTGTCTTCTTCAGCTCTCCTGCCGCTGCATCGTCCGCAAAGCATCGTCGCGGAATCTGCCGCACAGCACCGCTATTCTGCTGCACGAGGGTCCGCCGCACAGCATCCCCCAGCAGAGACGCTGCCCTCCTCATCATGGTCGCCCCCTAATTCCACGCAAAACTCCCAATGCGTCACACTCCACTCTATACACACCCTCGAATCACAAAGCAAACGAACAAATCCCAAAAGCGAAATGAGAGGAAAGGAAGCATTCAATTCGTGACCCTCAAACCCACACTACGACCCCACACCTGCACAGGCTGCCGCGACGGGCGAAACACGCCACAGAGCCCCAGGAGGGCCTGAAGAAGCGAGTGAGGTTGGGATTAGGCGATGGCAGTGATTGGTGAGAAAGAGGGAACCAGAGGAGACGGTAACAAGTGGGGCAATAAGAAGAAGAAGAAGGGGATGAATTCGGCGGGGAGAATGGGTGATGGAAGAGTGACTGGCGAGGATTCCTCCGGCGAAGGACTTGCCCGCGCTTGAATGGAGATCGGAAAGCTAGCTAGCTATCCATGGCCATCGTCATCGTCATTGCCATCTCCTTCTTCCTCCCCCTCGCCCTCGGGCTGCCCTTCCCTGCCCTGGCCTGGCCTGGGCTTAGGAGGGGCTCCGCGCCGCTTTCGTCTCCGTTGCCCGCGCTGTCCACCCCGCATCGTGTCTGTGAACATGTACGGATATGTAGTTGTTTGTGTAATCATTTATGATGGTCTTAGTACTATCTCCTTTCTATTTTTTAGAATAACTTTTAAAGAACTTTTCTATGAGTTTATTTGAAAATGTCACGCTCTTCTTGTGTAATGAGTATTTTGTAACATTCAAAGATGAGTGAGATCTTAGAGTGTCATTTCAAACCTGTGGCTTCTTGATGAGGGAACTCATGAGAAACTCTGGGTTATGTCAATGCAAGGTTGTAATGTGTGGTCTGAATAAGGAAAAAACTCATAAATATAAATATATATATATATATGGAATTGATAAGGCAACACCCCCATGTTGTTAATGCAACATCCTCTTTGGTTCTTATAATTAATTTAATCTATCCCATATCTATGTCCCTCGTCTCCATCCTTATCCTCATCTCCTAATCCTTGTCGGAGTCCCTCATTTTTCCTAATTTTTGCCTTCCATTCTTTATCATTGTGAATGGCAATAATAACCTAAAACAAAGTTGTTTTCTTATAAAATTGTTTTGTAACTAAAACATTCATTGATTAGAAATTGTATAATTTGTAGAAATTAGTTAGGAATTGATATCTTTCTCCCAATTTGTGGAAATTGATTAGGAATTGATATCTCTCTCCCAATGTTCAATTGGAACCTCCCAAGAATTCCCTACAAAGTTGTTCTTCTATTACTCCATTTGATCAATTTTGTCTACTTCTTATTTCTTACCTCTACACCACTTAAAGTACATTCCTAGCTTTTAAATCTTTAACAAAAAGAAGGGTCAATAGTCTACTTCTTAAGTAATAGTCTAATAGAGGAAAAATGGCTAATCCACACCTTATATTGATTAGTATTTAAAGTAACCTTTATTGAACTAAGGTCCCTTAGTCCACTTTGGCTGATCTTAGGATTTTGAGAGAAAATTTTAGTAGATGAATATAATGGATCTTAGATTGATCAAACAAAAAAACTTCAAAAACAACTTCCAAATATTTTCTAATAAATAATCCTTCCATAATTTTCTCATCTACAACAACAATTCAAAATTGTATGGACAAAATCTTGTTGATAGCCACAAAAAATGGACTCTAATATCACACAATGTGATATACCTAAGTTTTGCAAGACTCGACCCTTGTTTCCCTTTGGATGTCTCTTTTTGGTACTAATACATTATGCAATCCAATCTAGGACATTGTTGACTTCCATTGGCTAAGATTGTCTCACTTCAAAAGATAAAGAGGTTCTCTATCTTTATTCCAATCCTAAAGTAAATACACACCTTTATTTATGATGGATAAATGAAAAAGAGAGGCAAAAGCAGATAACAAATTTCAACCAGATCCTAGAGGCTCACACATAAAAGTGAAGCCAAAGAGAGTCAAAAGAAGAGAAAGAGAGAGAATTAGATTCTTGATATTGTGTAGTAACACAACCATTAAGTAAAAGAGAGAAGAAAGTATTTTACTATAAAAGAGCCTAATTAAAAAGATATAGTAAAAAAAACATAGATAAAAGATAGGTAGTTAGTAAAATCTTATAATATCAAATTTTCTTTTTATATAAAAAAAAATCTATTTATTTTGTATGGCCATAAATGAGACAAAATAAGATAGATTAGAAAAATAAATAATATAATCATATGTAAGAGGAAGTTGGAAGTTGATTTTATCAAAAATTATCTCAAAAAAATAAGAATTGGTACTCGGAGAGGACTAGTTGTCAATCAAGATTGAAATCAGATCCTAAAATACAAAACAAAGTACCTATATTATTTTTGAGGTTAATAAAAGAGTTGGATTTGAGAGAAAACTAGAGAAGAGATTTTTGAAAGTTGGTTTCATGTCCTTTAAATTAATATTAAGGATTTGAAGAATTTTCAAAGTTAGTGATGTATTTGGTGGATTTAGGTTTTGAGAAATAAAAATAAGTTTAAAAATTTGAGGTTTTTGTGAGTTTTATAGTATATTTCTAGGTGAAAATTTGGCAAGTTGTTTTTGTAAGTGTTATAAATTTTGTGAGAAATTTGAGATAAATCAAGCAGTTAGATTGGAGCATACAAGAGTTTTGTGGATAATAGATTCAAAAATTGGAGTTTAGAGGACTAGTGAGGATTTCTAAGATATTTGTCAATCCGCTCATTACATTTGCTCAAACATAGTTAGCTTGACTTCCAATAATTGTGCAAAGTTTGGAACCAGTTAAATGCTAAAATTAAGAGATCATGGATTAGAAATATCATCATCAAGGTTGGAAAAGGAACCTAGTCAACATCCAAGTGGAGTATAGAGATTATCATCCATTTAGTATGTACAATCTTCTTTAAATATTTTGTGCTTATTTTTAACTTAATTGTTGTAAAGTTTATAAATTTTGAGTCAAAATCAATGGTTCAAGTATTAGTTATTGAATTTTTAATTTGCCATAGGATTTGTTAAATATTTGTTTAAAATTTAGGATTTGATTAAGGATTGATTAGGATTGGCTTAAAGTCTAGTATTTGGTTTAGAATTTAGTTAGGATTTAGGATTTTTCTAGATTTGATTAGGATTTAATTAAGTTTTAGGATTTTATTAGAATTTGATTTGGATTTGATTAGGATTTAGGATTTCAATAGGATTTGAAAAGGATTTCATGAGAACTTTAATAGGATTTGATTTAAAGTTTGATTAGGATTGGTTTAGAGTTATATTAAGATCTGATTAGGATTTAATTAGAATTTATTTTTTTAATATTTATTTAATATTTATTTAATATTTTATTATTATATATATTTTATTAAGGTTAATATATCATTTCTTTATATTTATTTTATAATTTTTTGACACTTCTTTTGAATTTAATTAAAGATTGATTAGCATTAATATAGTTTAATTGGAATTTGTTAAGAATTCTATTAGAGTTGTTAAGGTCATCTTATTGCAAGTTCCATTTTTCTTTCTACATTTATGTATCCATTGCATTCTTAAGTAGACTTCACATAATATAGTACCAAAAGAGAATCATAGGTGTTGCAGTCTTTTAAAAATGTGACCAAGAAAGAAAAATCAACAAGAGCATTACACTCATAAAACAACCATCACTACAAAGGAGTTGAGACAATATAATATTAAAATCAACTTAGAATTCTTCTTCGTCCTCTCTTTCCTATACCCACTTTGCAAACAATATCTATAAGTTTATTAAATGAATTTTTTGTATAAATCATATTGAATCTATGCATATCACAAAAACATGACACTCTTTAAAGAAACAAATACAAATGATGGAGAAAGAAAAAATATCTACTTCTCTAGCACTCACCCAATGCAATTTAGATTGTGTTGCAGGTTGCTACTTCTCCACTCCTATTAATTCAATACACCTAATTCCAAAGCTTGCAAATCTAGAACCCTTCAAAATCTAGAATTTACCTACTTATTTTTTACACTTACGTTACATTAGATGCAATAGTCACAAACTACAATTATAGTGAAGCAACACAAACCACCTTCATTTTATTCACCACCACTTATATATGGATTTTTGCCATGTGGCCAATGCAATTTTGAAGATCAAGAGCTCACATATTAACTATAGTATGAACATAATCAAAGTAGCCACTGATCCATAAACATTAATGCAGAAACTACTTTTTGGTTGTAGTTGGAAATCTATTATAATAAGAATTTAACCTATTTTTGCTAGGCCTCCAATCTATTGTTGACTACAAAATGTTAGACTTGGTGGACAATAGGTAGCCAACCTAGCCAAAATAGAACACCCTATAGGTTGAAAATGAAGGAATGGTTGACAATAGATTAACTACCTTAAGAATTTTCTTTTTATTTTTTTATTTTTCAAAAAAAGTGATGAATAAAGCCAACAAAGTGGTGCTTTATCTTTCTTAACAACATAAATTTTAAGGCTTCAAAATTTTTTTATAAAATTTTAGAATTATTGTGGATGATTCATGGTAGGACTAAAATATTATTATAAGCAGTTGGATTGACTAGTGAACTAATGGTATAGCATTTGAATTATCCCTAAGGAGTGTAAGCTAATAAAATTTGCTCATGGTGTTAAGAAATAAATATAACTTGTAGAATCAAATTCTTAGAAAAATCCATAATCAGTAACAATATTATAGATGATCCTAGGTCTGTTGTTTCCAACCCAATGAATATGATGTTAAACAATGATTTATCAAAGAAACATATCTGAATATGTTAATAGAAAAAGTATTCTTTTAAAATTATAAAATATTTTAACTGGTGTGTTTGTAAATTGTAAAATTAAATGACATTTTTTTATTTATGTAAATAAAAACATAGAATGTGCAATGATTTGATTTTGATTTCATTTAATATTTAACAATTTTATATATTTATTATGGTGCACTCAATTAAAGAACATATTAATTCATAGAGAAATAAATAAATGAATATATTTATACTTTTTTTATGAACTTAAAAAAATAATTATGTATATTATTGAAATAATCAAATATAAATATGTCTATTGATGATATCATTAAATACATTTATTTCAAAATATGGTAAATATACTTATCACAAGATTTTATTATTCTTTAAAAAACTAAGAATGGTTTCTTTAAATAAAATTTTATTTATTTATAATCTATATATTTGGAATTTTGTGAAAGAAAAAGTTAAATACTAAAAGTCATTAAAATATAGTTATTTTCATATTGAGGTATTGACATAATGCCAAAATAACCACTATACATATTGTTGCATAAATGAGCCAATCCTTTTTCAATATACATCAATTTAAAACATACAATTACATTTATATATAATTTTTATTATTCAAGTTGTTGTTTTTGAATAAAAGATATATTTTATTGCCATAATGCATGCTAATTACTACACACTTTAATGTAATACACATTTACATGAAAAACCTTGGGCATATTTTTATTATTTTATCACTGTTTACATATGTTCTCTTTTTTATTTATTCATTTAACTTGAAACAAGGGTTAATTTACATTCATCCAAACTTAAGATGCTTTACACACCTCAAACTTGCTAGAACGACATTCATCCATACAAAACTATTCATTGCTCTGAACATTGAAGTCTACGCTCTGATTTCTTTGTTGGAACGGGAATTAGGGTTTGATGATTTTCGGAACAGCCAATGTTGTTGTGTATGATGCGGACTCGGGCGGGATACCGAGTGCCGCTTGTTCCACATCACATCACTTGTTGAGATTCGGTTTCGGTGAATGGAGGCAAACCATTACCGTGTGCGCATGTGTGTGTGTGTGTGTGTGTTTGTGTATAGTCTTGTGATTTTAGGATTAGGTAGTGTCAGATTTTCACTGCACTGAACGTGGAACTAGGCACCACACCCTATCTCATGTAACAGCGTCGTATGCAAGAGCATTTCATGAACGGGAGAAATTTCAAGCACTTATACAAGCCATAATTTCATTGAAAATGTAATTTAGAGCTTGAAAATCTTAAAGGTCCGTCACCTCAGAACGCCAATCAAGAGCACTGTAGCAATTACACTCGGGAGTATAATTAAGAAAAGGTAAACTGCATGCCACTGTCTAGTTTACAACAGATATTTTGATTGGCAGTTTCAGACTTAAGGAACAGAAAAAATTCCTCCAACCTGCAAATAAACATGAGCCTCGTCATTGAAACTCCAAAGAAATTCATTATACGACTGTGGTTCAACGCAAGCTAAATGATTCTTCATTGAGAAGAAATTGCAAGAAACTAACGAACATCAGTCGTACTTTCGGCGACAGTGTGCAATATCAAAAATCATTTCTTCTACTTTGGTTATGAGGAAAAAAAAATCTACTGAATCTCTGTGATCTTAGTTTTGATTCCTGGAGAAAGTGTTATTGTTACAGGGTTCAAATGGCACTACGTTTCCTTTCGGCACACTTGAAGTACCTAGGGTAATTCTAATCAATAGAACTAAGTTTTGCATCGAAATACTGCTGAAATTCCTTCAGATGTGACATGAGCTCTTCGGTGGAGGGAATGGGAAGAAATTTAAATAGACCTAGCCATGATTCTGTGATTTATACAATCAACAGGCAGCTCTCCACCCGGTTTCAATTCTCCGCTCGGATTTTATTGCTTGTTTTTTCGCCTATACATTCTATTCTGAATCGGTGGTTTGTGCATTTAGAATGGCTGATTTTTGTTGTCTGTTCATTGCTCGTTACCACTGCATTTTCAGTTTTGGTCCTTGTGGATCAATATCGTAGATGATATAGAACTTTGACCTAAGAATTAAACATTGACTAAGCTGTATTTCGCGGTGTTCAATACCTGCTCCTGGGATACAGTTCGTCATCTAAAAAGTTGATCTGCTTTTTGAGTTGCTGCGCAAATAGCACGCGATGAATTGAGTCAGGCGATTCTCTAACACTCCAGAGTGTGCTCAATACCTGAACGTGTGTGTTCCTGGATGAGATGCACTACTTTCATCTATCTCTTTCGGCAGTAATATGCAATGTTTTCTCTGAGAGTCTCCAAAACATATTTGAGAGGCCTCCCCCGAAGTGGAGTTAGTTGCAAACAGAGCATGGGCTAGTTTGTTTAGGGCCGCATAAGGTTTCTGAACTACACTGCGATGAAATTTTCGTGAAATCGCAGTTGTATTGTGAGCAATGCCCGCGGCTGCCATGGCGCCGCTGCTGCGCTTCACTGATGTGCGTCCCTTTGTTTCCCAGGTTGGGGCAAGGTACGCCTCGCGGATTTTGGCAGCAAGGCGCTATGGTGACCAAGTGCGCCTGCGGGTTACCAATCCGCTGCAGGATGCTCGCAGCTGGACTGAAGCTCATAGATTATGTAACGGGAAGGCAAGGAGCTTCTCTGCTGGTCCGGTGTCTGCCAGAGCTCTTGTGAAGCCAGTGGTGCGTGTCTCTACGGATTCTCTTAGCTCTGAATACTATCTTTGACAGCTTTGGAACTTGGATTGAATTGCAGTAGTGCTGATTTCGTAACTTCAAAGCCACTTTTGTTTCTTCCTGGTGTTGAGAAGCGGGGGTTTGGGTTTTGTGAGTTGCAACTCCAAATCCATCTCTTGTGCTCCATACACACTACTTTTGAAAATTCAGTAGAGACTTCCAATGTGTAGTATAGTTAATATTCTTGTGTAGCAAGTACTGATTGGCTACTAAATGTGGCACTAGACTTGCTATTAGCTTACTTGTGATGCCGAAGGTCTTTCGGAACTCAAATTCTTCGCATTGCATAATTTTTTTGGATAGGTTGGTAGGATTCGTGTGCAGTCTGTGTGGAGTTATTTTAAAGAAGAGTAATATGATATTGTATGTGTTTATTTTTTTTAATGCTAGCTATTGATGTTGCTAGGTAGCCGACGTATGGGCCAAAGCAGAATCATGGGTGGTATTTTCGGATCTTCACTTGAGTCGACGCACATGCGACATCTGCCTCCAAGTTCTTCAAACTGTGCATGCTGCTGCTGTTGCAAGGTAAGATGTCACCACTTTCTCCTTCACTATAGGCATTCTTTCGACTATTGGCTGTTCCTTTTGCAACAGTTTTTGCTAAAAAAAAAGGCAGGGCTAATTCATTTCGTATTGATTGCTGCTGAGATTAAGCAACGGGATACGCAATCACTGTGTCCAATCAGATGATGATAGTGGAGTGAAGGCTGCAGGAAGGCAGGTGTTATATTTTTGGGAGACTTTTGGCATTCAAGAGGTGCTCTACCCGTAGAGCTCTTGAATATGGCAATTATGGAGTTGCGAGTGTGGCAGTGTCCTGCTATTTTCATACCTGGCAACCACGATCAGGTTTGTGGTTCCCTTTTACGAAGACACTCGCAATTTGAATAATTTCCTTTTAATTTCTCCTTAGTCGATTTAAAATGCTAAAAAAATTACCGAGTTTGATTTCTACGGCAGTCATAGTATCGGTTGTTGTCTTCTTCTCTTCAGATGGTACTGTATGATTAATGTTCCACTATGAAATTCTATTACTGAGAATTTAGTATAGTAATGATACTTGAGGAATGGATGAAGTACCTTGCTTTCAAACATGATCTGGGTGTGGTGGTACGACTTTCAGGTGAATTTGGAGGGATCAGTACATGCTTTGCAAGTACTTGAAGCAGCCAACCCTTATATCAAAGTGATCTCAAACCCAGTGGAGTACTTAGGCGCCCTATGGCTACCATTTCGTCGTGACCATTTGCTCATTGAGCAGGCTGTGCAACAGCATGGGCAGATAAACGCCATTTTTGCTCACCTGGACATTGTAATTTACACTTTACAGTTCTTTTTTCCTTACCCTCTGCTTTTCACACTTCTAATTTTTAGAATGCGGCAGAAGCAGTACACAATGTTCAGGATGCATTTGGAAGTTCTTTACTTTTGAAAGTAGTTGTTGCTCTCTTCATTCATCACGTGTACTAATGTGGTGACGTTCACCTAGGTGGGAGCTTTTTTGAATGAGGCAAATCAAGCAAAGGATGGGATTGAGCCATCCGTGTTTCCGCAAAATGTACCTGTATACACAGGCCATTATCACAAGCCGCATGTGGTGAAAGGCTCTCGCATCGAGTATGTGGGATCCCCATATCAAGTTTCAGCAGCTGAATGCGACCAGCCGAAGCGTTTTCTCGTTCTTGATAAGCAATGGCAGGTAAATATCTGGATGTTTGCGACAAGGAATAAATGGTATGCTCGTATTTTATAATATTGGTTCAGTTACCAGACCTTTACGCACACAATGTCTATGAAGCGAATTTGAAGCAGCGCATTTCTTCTATGTTCAACGTATTTTTCAAACCAGATTTTAATTGTCTATGTGTGATTATTGATGTCGCAGAAAATTGACGAAATTCCAGTAAGTATTGGCCCTAGGCACTTTGTTATTACACAGGATGAAAACTCTCCCTCTCAGATCTTGGAGGGCGTTCGAGCAGGTGATAGAGTGCGCTGGCATCTCCCCTCAAGTACTTTAGAGGACTCTGTGAAATTGGAATTGGTAAGCTCCAATTTACTGTGTCATCTCTGTGTAAGTCTCTAGGTCTTGATCCAATGTAGGGGATTTCGGTTTGAACGACTGTCTGCAGATAGTAGTGTTCTTGTTGATAGAATGGGAATTTGGAGTACGCGAAGAAATTCTTGATTATCTCTGACCTTCATTTTTTTTTTTTTTTTTTTTTTTTTTTTTTTTTTTTTTTTTTGTTTCTCTGCTTTTTCCCCCTTTTTCTCGTTGTGCTTATGCTTAGGACGAACTTCAAGCAAGAGGAGTTTCCGTCGACACAATTTTTCCGATTGTTGCATTTAAGCCACGGATTAAAGAAGCTGTAAACCTTGTAAGTAGTTTCCTCATTGTCGTGACTCTATCATTTGTTATTGAATTTCTGCAATATGAGTTATTGAATTCGTGTTTGATCGAAGTCTGTTTTGTTATGTGTCTATTTTTGAGACTGTAAATTCATGTCTGCAGAGTGTCTTTGATCTTTTTGATCTGTACGCACAAAGCGTGGAAATGAATGACAATGTGGTGAGAATGGCTAAGGACATGCTTCGCAGCCTGAACCTGCCCGCCAAGCTTATACAAAGGCCTCAAGGTAACCACCTTAATTTAATCTTAAGCTACTCCTCTTTGTGCTCGTCAGATTTTATGTTGCAATCTTCCCCCAATTTTAAGCTTAAATGTGACAGTTTGAGTAGTCTTATGTTTGGGGTCACTAGTTACCGTGTCGACGTTCCTCTCTGGTAGCAACTGGAATGGGATGGGATGACGTCTTCCGAATGTTTTGCTCTGTCAAGTTTTATATTTGTGTTCGATTATTTAGACAAGTTGTAATGTCTGCTTTTCCCGAGATGTGTCATCCCATCCCTCGATTCGACAGTTATTCGAATTTCTATTGAATTGCGTCCAATGATGTATCATTTTTACAAGTCACAGTTTATGATGTGTTGTTAAAAAAGTCTCTTGGCGCAGTAGGTTTGCCCAGATTCTTTCAGTGAATAGTTTTTTCACCATAATCTTGATCCAGTTGGTGGGTCTTTACAGTCCGCTGTGAATTAGAGCATGTCGAATTAGAGGGTTTTGGGGTGTTTCTGACCCCTGCGAAGTATCCGCTCGCACAGAGAGGTGTACGGATAGTCTCTGGAAAGAATTTGGATTCCATGGGCGCTGACAGCAATGGTGCTGGGAAAACCACACTTGTTATGGCTCCCCTTTGGGCACTCACAGGTACTTTTCTGATACAGTGAAGTTGTACTGTATCCCTAGAATATACTCCCTCAATATTGTTTAGGGTAATCGGATGACATTCTTCGGCTTGCTTTTTCAACAGCATTTGTTGAATTTGAACGTGTATGACCACAATGTGCAAGTTTATTGCAGTGCATTCAAATAATAGATTCAACGAATTGGAGTTTTAGGTTCAACGGATACACGACCAGATTCAGTTCGGGGACTATCTTCAGCTGAAGTGGTGCATCATGCTGCGAAGCGTGCGCGTGTTCGAGTTGATGGGACAATTAATGGGAAATCTTTTGCTGTGGAAAGAACAACTGGCAGGTACAACCTACTCCATTTTCTAATTTCTAAGTACTACTCTTTCTGCATGTATGAAATCAATCCTGAATCCTTGTTCGTCATATTGGTTTTAACATTTTTTTAAAGTTTTAGTTGTCCAATTTACTTACATATGACGGAGCAACCCTACGCCCGCCACTTCTTGCGTAAGTTACTTTCGGCTATGTTGGGGTTAGGGTCTATCTGTCATTCACCTTTTCATCTCACGCTCTGACCTGAACTTATACCCGGATATTTGTATTGCAAATTTGACCATTGAATTGCAGGAGAGCCAGTCTCAAGTTCTTCTATGATGGAGAGGACTTGACTTGTCAAGAGATGCGAATGACACAGTCCCGTATTGATGAGATCATGTAAGATAATGGCATCTTTTTATCTCAAAATTGATCTTAAATGTTGGTGGAAATCATACAAATATTGTAGGAAGTGCTGTCCGGTCACCAAAATTATTTGATGACGACCAATGATTGTTTTGCATCCCTTCGTATATGGACGCTTATTCGATTTGGGCTTATTTGTACTGTTCTGGCGGAGATAGTCGTCTGCGTTGCTCAACTTAACAATTCTGTTTGAGGTTTAATATTGTTATCTTAAATCCAAGACCACTCGCCTACATTGTTGGGTTTGAAGAATTTGGTTTTAGCGACTGACATGTTTAAAGTCTTGTAGTGACACATCCGTGCTTTATCGGACAGTATTTCAAGGACAGCATGGAGGTGGAGATTTGTTGGAAGCTTCCGACAAAGAGTTCAAGGTATGTAGCTATATGAATGACTGTTGGGTGAAAAACTCCATAGTTATCGTTGAACTGAAGATTTCTCCCTTCACGCACATGGTAATATTCATAGACTCTGCATTATCGGACTCGAGAGGTCAATTAATAAATTCTCCTTTTCCAAAGGAATTGTTCTTCCCATTAGCTGTCTGGATCAACGTAATAAATACCGACTTACCAATGGTCAATAGACAAAAATTCTCCATCACGGTTTAGATGCGTTGTGCAGGAAGAATTAAGCAAATTTATGGCGATGGAAGTCTGGATGGCTGCAAAGGAACAAAGTTCTCAAGAACTTCGCAGTAAGAAGATTGAGGTTGAGCAATTTGCGGGTGCACTCGAACAGCTTCGCGGACAGTGTGAACAATTGCAGAAGCAGGTATCACTTTCTTTTGGCTGTGCTTGTAAAGAGTTTGACTGCTGAACTTTAATATGCTTCTTAAAGGTTTATATTAAGTCGAGGTTACTTTGAGATCCAAGATATGATTGAAGTAATACCTTCAGCTTTGGAATAATAAAAATGGGCGGAGTAGGAACATGTCCCTAGGTTTTGACCCTCAAATATCATGTGTGTAGGTGGACTCCTGCATGCAGCGTTCACAAGATTGGGAGATTAGCAGGTGCTGTATCTTTGTTTTGTGTTAGTATTTTACCTATTGAAATGAACTTACGTTTTATAGCTAATTCCGCTGATATTTTATTGGTGTTCTTTGAGGTCTTAAAAGAGATTCTTATATGCAGGAGTAGCAAAGTTGTAAGCATTGAGACAGAACTTAAGGCTGCCAAAGAGACACTTCAAGCCACAAATGCAAGCTTTGCAACCACGTATTTGCAGGTGTCATCTACAATGACTGCATGGGAGAGTCGAATGAAGGAGTTAGAGCAGACACTAAAAGATGGAATGGAGTCTTGGCCACTGTCTACACAGAACATCGAATTTCAACAAGAAAGAGGGAATGTTCGTTTTGAGAAATTGTTGCAAAAACATGCAGAGCTTTCCCAGCAGGTACGTCACTGTATTATGAGCAGAGCTGGGCATTGGTCAATTTAAGCTTCATCATGTTCAAGCCACTTGTAGATGTCAGACCGCAACTCTGGTTTTTATGACAAACATTCTCTTAATTAGGTTCGAATGGTGGAAACCTCCTTCGAAATGAAGGGGAAAGCCCTCGAAGCTTTTCAGAGAAATGTGGCAACATCTGTAGTTTGCGACAAATGCTTGCAACCTATCGATGCAGCGCACTCCTCACAAAGCCTTTTACAGCTCAAATCTGAGTTGACTACAATCTCCGACCAACGTGAACATGTTGTGAAGGTGAGAGGCTGCGTAAAGTCAGTATGTATGAATCCAGCCTTGAGTACTTATTCAAAGTTGACAGTGTTCACACCACCTGAATGTTTCTTTAATCCGCTTATTGGAAGAATTTCCAGTTTGTTCTAGTGCTTCTTAGTTTTCTATTAAAAACAATGCATGCTTATTTAAATTTCTCATCCCTATTTTCGGTTTGATCTAATTTTTTTGATAGGAGCTTGAGAATACTGAGTTAGAGCTGAAAAAGATTCGGAAAATAATGGAGCAAGAGAAACTAGCTCGGGAGGCAGAATCCGCGAAACAAAAACAATTGCAAGAGGCCTTGAAGCAGTCCTCCACAAATATTCTATCTCAGGTGGTTTTTACTATCGAAGCTGCTTAGTTGCCCCGCATTTACGGTCATCTTTTTGCTGGATCGCGTCAGTGTAGAGATTAAATTGAATTCAAGTGTTTTTTCCTTCGAATGGCTGGATCTATTTTCAGACTATCACAAGACAGACTTGAGATAATTCGAGGCTTAGTCTTGATGGCTATGACACAGAAGATTTCTTGTGTTTGGGAATCCCGTATTCAATTCAGCCCTTATCCCTGTTGTTTACTTCCAGAAACCTTCTTATTCACTGCCCATTGCATGTTTATTGATTAGGTGATTCTATATTTCATGAGTAACCGAACCCCTAGTTATAATCCATGTTGTACTTTGGCTTTCTTCCTTTTTTTCTGTTTTTTTCAACATTTTTCAGTTATCATCCCTGATTCATCTCATTTGTCTTGTAGCTCAACCGTCTACGTCAACATGTTTCATCAGCTCAAATGGTTCTAAACACTGCGGTCCCTCTTGTACGTGCATCGAATGAGGATTCTTCCTGTACTGTCGATGAAGTTGCAGAGGGTAAGTCTGAAGAATTTGCAAGTCAAGAGCGCAGCTTTCTTGGCCATATTCTGAAACTTAAAACAGATGTACAATCGAGACTCTCTATCGAGACCAGGATCAAGGAACTTGAGATGAACTATCATACAGTCAAAGGCGAGAGAAATCGCTACGAGGCGGAGTATGATGTTCTTTCATCCTTGTGCACGAAAGCTGGCATTGAATACCAGGAGAAGCAGACGCTTCTGAGTTCTCTGCGTGAGGAGGCTGGTTGGCTCAAAGAAATTGATATCGCTTTTGGTCTTACTGGAGTTCAGGTGGGTTTAGGCCTGGTGTTGCTGGATTTTGTTAGTCACATGACACACCTAGACATGCATTAAGAGTATGACTTTATTTGTTGATTTATGTGTTAACATTCACGTGCAGAGTTACATTCTGGAGGGCGCCCTAGCAGATGTCCAAGAGAAAACAGCTTTTTACCTGGAAATGCTATCAGGTGGTTCTCTTGGCCTCCTGCTGCGACCAACAAGGATGACCAAGAGTAGTAAAGTGACCGTGGAGGCAATAGATAAAGTTGCGGTGGTTCGTCTCTCCAACGGGAGTTTAGAGAACCGATCTCTTCGCCAACTTAGTGGGGGTGAACGCAGGCGAATGGCTAGTATTCTGAATCCTGTGTCTCATATTTAAGATTGCGCTTATCTTACGTATAGAATTCATTAGTATCTTTATTTCTCTTCGTTTCTGACTAGTCTTGCAGTTTCTTCAAAATACATATATTTCGAGAACCTAGAAATTGCGATTACACTGCAGCCATAGTCTGGCAAGAGTCAATTATAGCCTATTATGAAGAGCGTCTGTTGGTACTGCTGCGACAGGCTTTGGCTCTGGCATTAGGATACTCACAGTTTGCTTCTCAACGAGGAGGAATCCAGTGTAATCTACTTGTTTTGGATGAAGTTCTACAGGTATGTGTTCCCCTTTACCTGAGTATTGTTTTTTAAATTTCAATTTTGAACCACCACTAGTAAGTCCAACACTCATCACTTGTATCACATGGCTCAGCCAGGGTCAATCAAATTACTAGACTTGTTATTTGTCTTAATCGTTAAAAGAGTTGTTAAAAGAATTGTTGTTCGAATTATTAAATTCACGTTACAAAAGCGCGAAATGTTGAAACTGAAATTCTCCCCAGTAGCGCTCCTGAATTCTGCGACAGGGATGGCATGTTAAATATTTTCGGTTTAAATTTATGTTTTTGTCTGCTTCGTAAATACGTGGATGTCTGTCTGCGCTGCAGCATCTAGATGGAGAGGGTCAAGCAAGGGTCGTGGCAATGCTGAAAGGTTTACCACAGAGCTCGGTGTTGGTAGTGTCTCAAGCCCATAGTCTGCTGGCTGGAACTTTTGACCTCGTGGACTGGGTCATCAAGCAGCGTGATACAGCCACCGTGGAGGTTGCTGAAGCAAGTGTACTTCGGGCCGTTTGAGCGTGAAACCGATACGTATGTACCGTGAACATTCTGATATACCTTAGACAATATGGTCACAGATAGCACAACATATCTAGAGAAAAAACCAGTATAATATTGGTTCTAGATGGACTTTCATTAATTTATGTCGCAAGTGGTATTAAACATCACTTCATCATCTCAATCTACCCATGATAATTGACGTCCTATTAAGTTTCAATTAATTAAGCAATGGTTATCAGATATGTACCACCTTGAATCCATCGCTTTGTTTGGTTTCTTCCCCATCACTTAACGTCAGAGAAACACACTTCTATTAGAAAGCAGTAACTTTAAACTCAAAAATCGTAGAATTTGAATGACCACTGTTGCCAAGTCTTGCAGAGTGCCAGAATCGGAAAGCGCTCATATTAGCGGACAAGTAGTAAAACGGCTGGGCGTTGTCAAATCCCATTTGAACTCTTTGTTGTTGAACTGATGCGATATTTGCCAGTTGGGTGCTCTCACAAAAGCGAAAACACACAGATGTCAAAATGAAAGATGTGATAAGATTTGGAGTCTGGACTCACCTGATGGCGGAGCCGTTATTCTCGAAAGGTTGTCGTCTATGGAAAGAATCGGCGTGACCGCGTCAACGCATTCAGAAAGACAAATCCATCAATATTTTGAACTCAAGATCATGGATCTGCGTTGAGTGCCGTGCTCTCACATGACTGACTATGCAACTTGTGGGCTAGAATCTTCCTCTGACGATGCTAGCATCTTCTTTTCAAAAAGATGGGGGAGTTGCTTGGGCGTGAAAATCAAGGCCGGTGGAGGCTTCCCACCTGGCACGTCCACAAATCATTCTCATTGCACAGAAAGTTGCATTTTATCTTCTGAATATGGACACTTAGCTTTGGATCAAGGTCCAAGCTGGATGTCTACCTCTGGCTATTATGGATCATTTTTCAGTGTTGTACGTTTCAATTCTTGCACATTCACTATAGGACGTGGCCTTTCTAGGAAAGGAATCCACCTCCTGGTATTGTAAAAAAACGCGAAAAAAAAAAACACACAAAAAAAGAACAAAGAAAAAGTAATGATAATAACAATAACGATAGAATGTGGCCTTCACAAGAGCCACACATCATGATGTCATTCCTAAAGTTATTTTCATTTTATTGCACCAGAACTGATTGCATTATTGTTCTGTGCAATTTAAGAGCAACTTAAGATAGCTAGAAATACACACTACGGCACACTTCTTGCATTGGAAACTACAGCGTCTACACCCTTATTCTTCAAAACCCAATATTTCACATTTTGAAAGTACATGACTTATACAGTGAAAGAATTAGATAACGAGTTTGTTTCCGTGTCATGTTACAAACATTTGATGTTATTGTATTTAGCATTTTTGAAAGAATGAGGTGATTTGGTTAATGATACCACTGGAATACCAAAGTTATGTATTGTAAATCATGTAATCAATAAATTTAGCAAAGAAATGGGTACTTCTATTTGTCTTGTTATAGATTTATTCCTTAATTAATTGGTGTTTAAACTATTAATGCCTTTAAAATATCAGTAATAAAATAAGAAGCATCATTGTAAGAAGCAGTAGAACTCTGCACCTTGCAATCACCACAAGAACGATCTCAAGATACATTGTCATTGACATTTTATCTTTTATTGTTAAAATTGCAAAATGTAATTATTGCATATTATTACAAAAACAGAAAGTATAGCATCCTTATATCTTCTGAATCGCATGTCCTTACACTATCACAAGCTAGTAGTTAATTTTTATTGAAGCAACAACATACTCAAAAACATGTACCATAAGTTTTTGATATATCCCTAGTAACACCTTCACAACAAAAACCACAAGTTCAATCAATAAGGAACAATAGAAGGTCCTATTATGCATGCTTTTTCTTTCAAGTCTGTTCCAGTAGAAGAAAAGATCATAAAAATCATCCAAACTAAAATGTAATCTTATTAACATGTAAATAATTAAATTCGTTATTAAAAAATGTTTCAGTTGCATTATTTTTATCGTTAATAAATCGCTTTCCAACTAAAAGGAATCAATTTATTTTAAATAATGTTTTACCATATTTATGCATAAGATGTTGTGTATGTTACTTCAACTTTTCTATTAAATTTATGTTATCTACTGGTATCCCAGTCAACACATGTTGCATCATTTAGGTGACTTTGAACAACAAACTAGGCTTTTTTGTGACAACTTCATGGTTATAATATATTTTCTAACCTATACCCTCTTTATAAAATATAAAGAAATAAGAAACGTTTTTTCATTCTACAATCTGATATCTACCTAAATACCACCATCTTCCAACTTCAATACCACCAAAAATCTTGGATTTAAAGGTGATTGTTAGAAAGCCTAATAATATGCCATTACACCAAAACAACACCTGTAAAATTACACAATTAAATTGCGATAAGTGACAAAATTGAAACATAAATCAATCCTGGATTTTAAAATATTCCTACAAAAAATACTAGGAATTGAAAACGAATTTTAAAAAACAGATAAATAAACTCTAACAATATTTTTGATATCATCTTAAATATGTTTTTTATTTTTTAAATAAGATACTACAAAAAAGAAAATTGACAAATATTTTGTTTTGAGATTTGAAGCAAAGTGCATATGAGTTTTTCAACAACTATTATAAAACCATTGTAATTTTAGTAATATAATTTATTATAATATCTATTAATTTTTTAATTCACCTCTTTTTTTATCAGCTAATTTTTTCAAAATTTTATGAGTAGTAATGATCAATTTATCAATATGTACATATTGATAAAAGTAAAAACATGAAGTCAATAAGAAGTAAGTAGATACTTCAAAACTCATCAAATTTATATTTAATTATATCCTATATAATTGATAAGCTCACTAGATTGAATTTTTTATTAATCAAGTAAGATTATAAATTAAGCAGGATAGATCATAAGTGATTGACATATAATAGCAAGGTTGACAGGTAGAGATTGATATCTAATTTAGTAGTATGATTCTTACTTAGAGTACTAGAGGTAGAAAGTTTGATTCTCTTCAAATCATCTTTTTATTATTTCTTTTGCTTCCTACTCCTATGGAGTTTTTGCGTTCTTATAGAGCTTCTTTATATACAACTTCTCTTGCATAAATCTTCTAATAAAAGATTATTTTTTCTTATAAAAGTAACGTTGAATATATAAATTGTGTAAAAAATTACTGTCAAGGATAAGAAATTAATAAAAGTAAATATTTAAATGAGACTCACTCAAAGAAATATGACAAAATAGAATTTAGAAAAGTATGTAAATTAAAAGGAAACTAGAATGGCTATTGCCAAAAGATAAAGAAACTAAAAACTCTTGAAACTAGATTAGAAATAAGAAAGGAATTGACAATAATGAAGAAGACTTTATTCTTGCTTCTATATATACTATCTACTTAGGATCTATGTGGTGACGTTCTATAAGACCTCCAAAAACATGTTGACTCTGTATGATACATATCTTTATATACAAGGCAAGTTTTCTATATAGATGCCACATAGTTAGCTTGTTCTATAAGCTATCAATACATGTGGGACATGAATAGCTTGTTGACCAAGTTTCTAACGTATTGATCAACTACAAACATATGTAAAGTCAAAATAACATCTAAGAAGCTTCTAAGAAGCTTTTTTAGAAGATATTAAGAAATTAATCTATTTTTACCTAATTCTACCTCTTCATATTACTTAAGTAACAATTAGAATAGATATTTATCCCTGACAATTGCATGGTTGGATGTTGTTAAATTATATGTTGTTTCATTTGAAAATGCATTAAGAACTTGGATATAAAGGTAGAATTGAATTTTGAAATTGTTGAAGAAACTCTAATAAGTTTTGATTAACCAAGAATAATGTTATCTGATTCCAATTTAAGATATTTTAATGTTAATATAAAGTAATAAAAAATATTCTTTTTAATTATCATAAACATGTACAAATTTTAATTTTTTTCTGTTACTTTTAATCTTTTGTAATTTTTGTTACAAATTTGTAATTCTTAAGTATATGATTGGATTGTAATTTTACAAATTTGTATAACAAAGCCAATATATCATACTAATGTCTCTTGACTGCTATCTTGAAAGTTAATAAAGAAATTCTAACAACAATTTTTTTCTTTCCAATTGATACTTATGGCTCAAAATTGATTTGTAGCTTGACCATTAAGGCTTCTAATTACGTACAAAGTCTTCTCTCATTCCAACTAAGAAATCTTTATATATTACAAAAAACCTAATCAACGATAAAATTCCTTAAATATAGGACTTCCTTATAATTATGATTATATATTTCTTAATTACACTATTACAATGGCATGAGTATTTACATAAGTTTATTATACAAAATTAATCATACACTCAAAAGATTCCAACTATATGTGTTGCTTGGAATGCATAAATCAACCAAAAATGCTACTTCTAATTTTATTGTATAAAATCCAAATGGCGAAAACAAACTATGACTTGCAAACAAGCTTCTCTCAAACATCAATTCAATCAATCATTGGATTTTTTTAACATAACCATATACTTAACTTTATTTTAGAGTCTATCATATCAAGTATTTACCTGATCTATCTTATTTTTACTATTTTATGGCCTTTTTAAGGAGATAGAAGTATTTTCATAGTAAATTACATCTGTGAATGAAAAATTACTAATTAGCTTTAATGTATTAGATATGAAGACAAACAAATAAATAAAGAAGCTTTCATAAAGTCTTGTTTAAATGGCTTGAATTCTTATTGAATTAAGATGGTAGAATATTAATTGAAAAATCATTTTTCGTTCATATTTTTATTATGTAATTGTATTGTAACACAACAACATTATTAATCTTTAATGTGTTGAATATTGATATCTTTGGAAGATGCATCAAAGACTTCTTTCTTAGACCATATTGAAAAAAATTGACCAACACAGTATAAAAACTTCATCAAACATATGATGACAAGAGGAACAAGTAAAAAAAATTGGTGGCAGTTTGTCATAGATATACACATGTAAATCAATAATTATTTATATAATTTAGATAATAGTAGGTAAAAGTATGTCAATTCCATAATATCTTCTATAGAAACTTTATAAAAGATTCATAGATGCTGCTTTGACTTTATAGGTGTCTTTAATTGACTTTTTAGGTTAAAAACATGGTCAACAAGTTAGCCATGTGCCACACGTGTTGGTAGCTTGAAGAACAAGCTAATTATGTGGCTCACATGTAGAAAACTTGTCTTATAAGCTAAAGCATGTGTCTTGCAAAATCAACACATATTAAAGGTCATGTAGAACATTGCCACATAACTCTTGGTTAGATAATATATATAGAGGTAAGAGTAAAGCCTTCTTCACTCTTGTCAACTCCTTTCTTGCTTTTAGTGTAGATTTAAGAGTCTCTAGTTTCTTTGTCATTTGGCAATAGCCATTCCAGTTTCTTTTTAATATACATACTACTTTATTTATATTTTGCCACTTTTTCTTTTGATACAAAATTTTTAAGTTTATGCATCTTCTTCCAGTTCATGTCCTTGACACAATCAAAACAAATTGTAGAACTTCTTTGTTTGTGGATTTGAAATTTAAAAGTGCTTGCAATTATCACAAAAAGATATTGGAGATCTTTGTCCTGCTAAATATCAATTCTTTAGATGAAAATTTTGACATGATGCTAAATGGTCATGAAACAACAATCATGTATAACTATTATGAGTGAAATATTAAAAAAAATTTATTAATAAAATACTTTTCAATAATCAATTTATATTTAGTACACACTTGTAAGTTTTACCAAATGCATTAGAAATCAAACATCAAGTTAGGACCACCTAGATTATTAATAGTTTTATACTTAATTTTTTTGAAATAAATTATAAAACTTTATTTTTTATTTTCTATTATTAATTATACAAAATTTAGTTTATAAGTTTTGAAAATTTAGAAATAATCTCTATTCTAACAAATTTTATTAGTTAAGAAAGGAATATTAATTAATAGATATAAATTATAGAGGGTAAAATTGTACTCCAAATTATGGAAGAACCAAAGCAAGATTACTACATTAACTATAATATTATAAAATATTATTTTAAAGTTAATATATAATATTTTATTATAAAAATTATAGATATTGTTTATTTATTAAATATTTTTTATAATTAAAATATATCATATTTTTAAAAATTTGTAAAAAATTATTTTATGAATATATATATATATATAATGAGGTACTTGTGTCATCAAAATAAAAAGTTTTTATGATTTTATAAAAAACTATTTTTAATTTTCTTAATGAAACATATTTTATATATTCTTAAATATATATATATATATATATATATATATATATATATATTTATAATTCTTTAAGAGATTAAGTTCAAAAATTATACATTAAAAATTCCATTTACATAATATTAAGTTGTAATTATGTTATTGACATAAGTGATTCATAAATGTAATTTTACCGAATCTTTGAAACATATAGTCTCTTTTTAACTGAAAAGTTTGAAAAAAGATTATTGTTTATGCTTCATAACAATTCTCAAAATATTTACAAATTTATAAACTTTTGATTGTGAAAGAAAATACTTGATGCAAGTCTAATTTGCTTTAATTATTTACAAAAAAGCGAGATTTTTCGTAAGATATAAAGGACACAAGTTTTTCTCTCAATACCTCATGGATATACATACAACCACTGTTTGATAAACCTCAACGATAAAAACACTTCATGCATTCTTCAGAAGCATGCGTTTTGTATATTCTCATCCATCAACACCACATCCATCCATCCACATCCATCCATCCACATCCATCCACATCCATCCATCCACATCCATCCATCCACATCCATCCACATCCATCCACACCACATCCACCCATCCACATCCATCCACACCACATCCACCCATCTACATCCATCCACATCGATCCACACCACATCCACCCATCCACATCCATCCACATCCATCCACACCACATCCACCCATCCACATCCATCCACACCACATCCACCCATCCACATCCATCCACATCCATCCACACCACATCTATCCACACCACATCCATCCACATCCATCCACACCACACCCATCCACACCCATCCATCCACATCCATCCACATCCATCTACACCACATCCATCCACATCCATCTACACCACATCCATCCACATCACACCACATCCATCCACGCCACATCCATCCACGCCACATCCATCCATGCACATTAATCCAGACGCTGAGTTTTTTTCAAAAAACATTTTTTGAAAAAACTAAGTAATCCAGACGCAGTAGTTTTTTTCACATCAGCCATCCATGCGCTAATTCATTCATCCACGAGGAATTCGCCCCCACACAAGTGCGTCCCCTAACCCTACTGACGACTGCGTCTCGCACATGGGAACAGCCGAGCAGGGAAAAGGTGACGCCGCAAGGGAGGAGGAGCAGTAGAACGCACGGGGACAGTAAGAAGGAGGGAGATTAAGCTCTTACATCTGCACTGTAGCGCCAGCCCGGCTATGGCCGAATCCAACGGAAGAATCCCACACACACACACATTCTTCATTGCCCTTCCCTGCCCTGCCAGGCAGCCACTCTCATCCGGCCGGTAACTGGGTAACTCGGTCCTTCCAGGCTCCCTCTCTGCTGTCATTGACGCAGACTGGAAGACCCCCTCCCTCTACGGAATCGCGCACAAATGTCGCTCTGTTCACCTCAACATGATGCAAATCGGTAGATTGGTGGCATCGGACCTCGCCTCCGCAAAGTGGAGAAACCCTGCGGAGTTACTGCTCCGCGACCAAATTTTGAATTTCTCTAGTCATGTTCACTATGTGAAGATATATCCCCGACGGATCTAGGGTTTCATAAGATTCACGTTTGAACTGGCGGAGGCCGTTTTGGGAGTGGTGCCGTCGTCGTTTTCCGTTTCGCTATGGCCAGGATCTTATGACTGTGTTGCTGGCGAGGTCTTGTAAATGTATTGCTGCTGGGGGGTTAGTGAGTTGTGGAGCAGGTAGGCGGGAGGGTTCCACGTGACTACATTGGATATGGATGTACTGATTAAGACTGCTTGAAAGAGTTGGCGGTGTGTTGGTTTGTTCTTCTCGTTCTTGCCTACGAATTCGTGATGAAGCATCCGATCATCATTATGTCTTTGCTGATGAAGTGCGCTGCTCTGAGACTGTGTATTGATCTGATTCTGTAGCCGGGAAGCTCTGCGTCGTTCTCTCATCAGCATTGTCTTCATGATTTGAGGACAAGTCCGTTTGGCGACCAGGTTTGTTTCTACGAAATGTCTTGATTGAATTCAAACATGCTGTTGGTCGGTTATAAGGTCTCGGAACAGGGTACAGTGGCGTGGTTCTGAGGTGCCGGAAGTTGAGGGTGGAGGCTTGACGACGTGGTTGTGTTCGTGATCAGTCTCCTTCCTACAGATTTGTAAATTAGAACTCATGGGTTTAGGCTCCCGGCCTGTGTCGTCTTCCTGGACGTCTCTTATTTCCTTCTCTGGGTCCTAGTTGTTTCTCTTGAAAGACTTTTGTGCCTGATGATGAAGTTGTGCATTAGGGAGAGTTTGGTTCGGATGATTGTCTAGCAGGGACATAAAGTGTTCGCGTTAACGCTGCCAATCGCCTTGAAGTCTATGTTTTGTAGACGCATTTGTACCCCTCCTTCTTCTCACTTCTCCACTTTTAGTATTTCAATTTATATCGGCGAGTTCAAAGAGAACCAGTAACTATGTTTCTGAGGGTTCATTTTCGACTGCAGTTCTGCAACTCACACACAACTTGAAGTATTCGCTGGTTTTCATCCAACGATCATAATAACCTGTAGGGTGCGAATTTCGCAGAATTTCAGCCATGATCATGGGCGGACTTGAAAGGAATGAGTTGACATTGCTGTGCGAATGGTAGCATGGGCTTTTTGAATTGTGCATTGTCACCCAACTCGAAAGCCAGCGTCATGACAAAAGCGAAGTCGTTCTTTGTTTTCTGGCGATTCTCAAATTGCGGTGGTAAGTAACAGAAAGTAGCGGGGGCTGTCTGTTGAACTTTGACGGCTCCTCTCTCAGCGTGGTAGGTCTGCAATACCAAGATGGAAAACCCGGATATGGCTTATCCAGTGTACAACATCTTGCCGGTGGATGATCCATCAGCTGACCATGCGGGGATGTCATTTCCTGAGGTAAGTGGAACCTGTATTTTCCACTCGACAGGGTTCATGTATAATTGAGCAGAACAAAGATTCGATAATCTAGATTGGCCTGTAGGACCCCACTAAGGTTGATAGAACTGTGCGAATTTTAATTTGAAAACCCATCTTAAGATGTGATTCCGTGGTGATGCTTCACCTAAATCATGTTTATTGAATATTTTGATGACTTCAAAGAACACATTGTTGGAAAATGTAAGCAATCTTGACATTGAGTTCTTATTTATTTATATTTTTATAATACTCATTTTTGAATCTCTGGGATTGTTCAGGTAAAAGCAGCAATTACGGCTTTGAAAAAGGTTGACGATTTGCCTATGCCACCAGATGTAGCCTGGACACCTGATATGGACATGCTGAGTTGGCTTGGTAGTTTCTTTGGTTTCCAGGTGCATACTCTGCTCATGCTGTAATTAGGTCTCTTTGTTTCCTTGCTAGTATTAGTTTCCAATTTTACTTTGACAAGAATGAATTTTTTTCATGATCAAGCTATGTGCATACTTCTTGCTGAGCAATAGATCTTTGAATGTTGTGGAGTCTCTGCACTGTCTTTCCAGCTGAGTCATCCAATAACAAATGTTTTCTCTTTTGAGCATGTGAGCAGGCAGATAATGTGAAGAATCAGCGGGAGCATCTTGTCCTGCTTCTTTCGAATGGAATGATGCAGTTGTATCATGCTGGGCCAACCTTTGAAACAGTTTGTACCGTCTCTTGTGTTATCCTATGCATTTGAAAAGCTTTGTCAATGCATTGCTTTGTGGCTAATTTACAGAGTCGACTAGTTTCCGCGAGAAACACACCCATGCCAAACGGGGTTCATTCAATAACTTGTCTGCAAATAACATACTGCCTAGAGAGATTTTCTGAATCATTATGAGAATGTTGCAAGGATTGTAACACAAGAGTATCACCCTATATCTTACACCTCCACTGGTTTTGAGCGGTTTAGTTGAATGTTTTTGACAGTATTCACGATGATTATCGTTCTTTCTTGTTGCATTGAAGAAACCATCGTAAAACCTTTTCTTGTGAATGCATGCGTTTTTCCTGTGTTAGAATTCTAAAAGTATTTAATTGCTGACACCATTTTCTTCGGTGGTTGCAGCTGGAAGCTAGTATTGTTAGAAAGACCCGAAAGAAGGTGACGGAGAATTATGTTAGTTGGTGCAAATTTATCGGACGCAAACACCACTTGAAGTGAGGCATCAAAGCAGATTTTAACTTTAGTATGTCAATTTTCTATGTTGTAATACACTTGTAATTTTATTAAGGTACCCGCTCATTTTGATGGGCTTCTGCTAAGGGTGGCTGTAACCTGTCCTAAACCAAAGAACGCGCGTCTTCGTACGAGTCATTTATAACTGCTTTTCAGTTGTTTAAGACATGTTCTGTAAATCTTAGTAATGTCGTAGCTAATGTGTTTTACTTATTTTTAATTGTGGAGCGTCCAAGTTTCCTATCACTATTTATGTATGTAGGTAACTTCTTATTCATGGTTGATAATGTTAAAAGGTTGCCAGATGGAAAGCATACTGAACATTTTGACGAAAGACGGGAGTTGATCTATATATGTTTGTACCTTCTAATTTGGGGAGAAGCAGCCAACTTGAGATTCATGCCCGAGTGTTTGTGTTTCATCTATCACCACGTAATATTCTGCACTATTTCTAGTTCTCTTCTTTGCAGACTTTAAACCCTATCGAGTTACTGTGAGAGCTCGGAATCTCCCATGGAGTTCCATAATCTTTGTGAATCTTGAATTGTGATTCAAACTTCAAGGCCTTTCTTATGCGACCCATATAATCCTCTCTGAATATTTGCAGAATGTTCGTCAATCTTCGTATATTTCTTATGAATTTGTGATGGTTTACTTCCTAGGGAACTTCTTTCTACTTCTATACCTTCTCATTAGAAACGATTTTGGTAAGTTTTCTGATAAGATTGAGCGACTCTTTTCGGATCCTTTGTTTGTCTGCAGATGCTCGGCGAACTGAATAGGTTACTAGAATTTTCTGGAGCAGATGACGTGCTTGCTGTGATGCCTACCTACACGGGAGTTAATGGTTTTCTTAATCATGTTGTTGTTCCTCTCTATACTATTTTGAAATTGGTAGGTTTTTGTATTCCATTTCTGAGTAACGCGTTTCTTTTTCTCTTTCTGCGAATTCTGTGTAGATGATACTTCAAATACTCAGATTCTATGTCCATATTCCACAGCTTCTCAAAGAAGCCCTTCAACTGGGAAATTAGTAGACATTTTAAATGTATCTTAAAATTGCTTACAGAATCAAGTTTTTTTAAGAAACCTCTTCAAGCTTTTATCTGTGTAAAACGTCATCCACACACTTCTTGTTGATTGCACAATCTTGTTGATTTGTGTTACTTTGCTGAAGTTTAAGCAGTAGGTCTTTTGGAATTACAGGAGGCGGATTCTAATAATAATGGGACAGCCCCTCACTCTTCATGGCGAAACTATGACGATCTTAATGAATATTTTTGGTATGTATTAAATTAAGTATTTGATGTTGTTGTCATTGTTAAATTAGACTATGTTTCGCCTTCTTTCTTTTGGATGAAGCAGCGCTTCACAGTGTTCCTGTTCATTGCCATCTGCCTTACATTTCTTGCACTAGTTTCACTCTTGTTCAATTGTTTGCAGGACTTCACGTTGTTTCAAACAGCTTCAATGGCCTCTGCAAACTAAGAGTAGTTATCTTGTTGAGCCTAGGCGAGAGAAAGGTTACCTTGTAAGCTCCGTACTGTGCAGTCTGATTTACTCCTGCACTTATCTGGGAATTCTGATTCTTATGTTCCGTTGTTTCTTGTTGTCATATACTAAGGCTAGCTACGGGCTTTTGACTATGAGCTTTCAGCCTATTCTGAATAATTGGTGCCTACGAGTCGGAGTCTGTATTTCAGTGAAATCCTCTGATAGGCTTGTTGGTACTTGTAGAGCCGTGGGAGGAAACCGCAAAGTGAAAAGGTGGGGAAAACTGGATTCGTTGAACAGCGGTCATTCTGGTATATCTTTCGGAGCTTCGATAAGTTGTGGATAGGTTATCTTCTTATGCTGCAGGTAAGATTTTCTAGAGCTCTAATCTGATTTGAAATTCGAGACGTCAATCAACAACTGCTTTTAGGGGATAAGACTAATGTTCATCCTTTTTGATTATTAATCTCCTAAAGTTTTTTCTTTTTTTTTTCTTTTTTTTTCTGCACATCATCACTTTTTGACAGTTTCCTATGAAACCACTTCGGGGATGTCTTGTCTCGAATGTGCTCGCGTCCCCAGTATCCTAGAAACTTCCTGATAAGTTGCTGGGTGACCATTGCATTGAAAGCATTACCTTCTAATCCTTACAGTGTATCTTTTTGTCGTTGTCTAACCTCGTAATATGTTTTTCTTGTCAGGCTTCTGTTGTGTTGCTGTGGCACAACGGTGGGGCTCCATGGATTGAATTGCAAAAGCCAGATCCTTTCGCACGTTTCATGAGTATATTTATCAGTTGGGCTCTTCTACGCTTTTTACAAGGTATTTTCTTTACCCGAAGATCAAAGTAAAATGACGCGCCTTTTTTCGTCGTTTTCAAGTTCTGCTTATTTCAGGACTTCGACACAAGCTTATGGCAAATGAGTCATTTACTGCCAAAATATTTCATTCGAGGGGTCATAACATACTTTTGTTGAACGGGTTCCATGTCAATCCTCAACCAATGTACTGGATTGTACACTTAAAATGAATTGTGAGGAAGTCCGTGCGGCTTTTAGTTTGTGGACGAGATACATCATGACTAGTGTTCCCTTGGAGCCTTGAATCTTGGATAACAAATATCGTTGGTAATCACCAGTTGCGTAGAAATTTGCATTAGTTTCGACAATGTCCACTAATTATCATTGCTTTGATGTAGGATTGTTGGATGTGGGGAGTCAATATAGCCTGGTTTCAAAAGATACAAAACTTATTGGTGTTCGCATGGTTCTCAAGCTTCTGGTAGCAGCTACATGGGCCATCCTTTTCATCATCTATTACAGGTTCCCATCTTAGAGCTGATCCCTATTTCCGATAATGAATCTTGAATGCCTCTATCTGGTGCAACTGAGTCTGACAACTCAGACACAGATGGAGTGGTTGGAAATGAGTGAACAAGGTACAAGTCCAAGTCGGTGTTAACATGTCTGTCCTAGTGGTGTTTGCAGCAATACGTTCTGAACTTGGTCATTATCGACCTTACCTATTTAATTATGTTCAACCTGCAAATGATTTTCATTACGAAATTTTGTGCCTATGTTTTTTGTTTGAGCAGAAGGATGTGGTGGCAGCGGAACATCGATCAGTACTGGACTGAAATTGCAAACCAAAAGTTGTATGAGTTCTTGTACATTGCTGCAGCCTTTATTGTACCGGAGGTCCTAGCTATTTTACTATTTATTGTACCATGGGTGCGTAATTTCGTTGAGACCTCAACTTGGAAAGTATTTCATCTCATGACTTGGTGGTTTCAGGTAAGCAACTACAGCTCTCCTGTAGATCGTGTGAATACGAATCCAACGTTTTCCGTCCATGCTCCGTTAAGTGCTTAATTTGTGCTAATTTATGTCTGGTTTAATCGTAACTCCTCATCTTAAATGCATTTTATGTTAGCTGTAGGTCAACTCATGCCTTCATGTTCCTCAAACAAAACTGTATTTTTTTGCGTGAGTGCCGTTTTCTTTGATTTAGTTTAAAACTTTTAGGGCCTGTGATTGATAGCTTCGCTTACGTTGAGAATACCACAATAAAACTGTCTGATATTTTCTCCTGCATCATCAGTTTCAGTGAGATCAAATACGATGGTTTTAAACTTCTGGTTGCCATGCTGCAGTCACGTGGTTATGTTGGTCGAGGTCTTCGTGAAGGTATCATGGACAACGTGAGGTGAGTACTATTCAGGTCTCGCCAGCGGATTTGTTTTGTATTAAGGGCTTCTTATGGCTTCAGTATCAGCATTTGTATTATTTTGTTTATTTCTTTTGATTTCAGATGCCCTGTCCTGAGTATGTGCTGTAGATGTAAGCTATGTTGAAACCTCAGTTAGCTTGCATTATACGTCCGCAGGTATACCCTATTTTGGGCATGCGTCCTTACATCCAAATTCGCTTTCAGCTATTGGCTCCAGGTAGTCCACTGTTTTGTTAGTAAGATTGGGCTTGAATTTATGGACCCAACTTGTTGATTATTGATTATCCTCTTCTCATTCTGATGGTAACTGATTCGTTAGTACATTTCGGGAAGGCGTACTCAAGTTTTCGAGATATTACCATGGATACTGAACTTGTTTGCCTTGATAACCTTTCTATGTGAACAGATTAGACCTTTAATTGCACCAACAAAACAGATCCTTGAAGCCACCGACGTCAGATACAAGTGGCACGAGTTTTTTCCAGATGGTAAATTTTCTACCTCTTTGATTTTAGTTCAGTTTCATGATCTTATTTCGTTGCCTAATGTTTTGCAGTGGATACCAACAGTGCCTCATTCTGATTATGCATCTCGTGTTCTTCATGTGAATCTCAGTGTCTACCCATTTGAGCTGGATTCTACTGCGTCAAACCCCTGCCTCTGACGTGTCCTCTTTTGTCTTCTAGGTAATCGAGCGGCTGTAGTTGCGCTGTGGGCTCCTGTTCTTATGGTGAGTTGATGTTGACCTAGAAGTTGCTTCTACTTAAGATGCAACTGTTCCGTCTAGAATTGGTGGATTTCATTATTAGTGCAGCGGAAAATTATCACCCGCCTTTTGCAGATCCTCGCAAAGGATTTTCATTCAGAGGTTCTTACATTTGCAAACGTATCTGTGTTACAACTGTATAATTAAAATATTCTTTTACGAAGTTTAGGAGGTCGCAGATTTGCAAATATTGAAAAGTTACTTGACTTAGATTGATCAGCTCACATTAACTGCTCGACGTGCACTTTTATGACTAGATCTATTTCATGGATACTCAAATATGGTATTCAATCTGGTCCTCTGGGATTGGAGCTTTTGTTGGTCTCCTTCAACACCTTGGGGAGGTTTGTTTTCTTCGTAACTTGTCGGAAACTTCCTGTCACATCTACAGGCTACCGTTGTGTCTTCATCGCTCTAGCGAGTTCATTTACAATGTAATGTGATTTGGTATTTCTTGTGTAATCTGTTTCATCGATCTGATGAGTAATGCATACTGGATCTAGTATTAAGTCAGCAGGCCAACAATCAGTTGAGCATCTCTCATCAGTGGATTTGTATCACTGTCCAGATTCGGAACGTGGAGCAGCTCCAACTAAGATTTCAGATCTTTCCAAGTGCATTTCAATTCAGTTTAATGCCAGTAGACGACTCTGTAACGAGGACGTACGACCGCCACCCTCTTTTCCATCATATTGCTCCCCATATTGGATATGATGCTTAAAGTGGTTTAATCTCGCCTTATTTTCTCGTACATATTCCTGCTTACTCGCACAAAGTGACACGAGTAAGCAGAAACCCCTACTAGCGTTTATGCTTGCTTGCTCGCTTCAGTGCTTCATTCTAACGTATGGTTATGGATGGTAAATTAGTGTGTGGGCAGGTGCAAAAGACTTGCTTAAGCGGCTTAGCTTGAGATATGGGTGGTCATCCGTTTATGACAAGGTGATTTAGAAATTTAGATTGCTTTAACCTTTCTAATGTAATTGGTTCTGAAAAAGAATAATCTTGAACCAAGAGTCTACCTTGTTGTGCTTGTAGGATAATCTATTCAATGATAACTCATATCGAAAGAGCGCTGTTAGCTCATTACAATTATCCTTTTTTTTTCCCTTTTTTATTTTCGTTTTTGTTCTCTCTCTTTCTCATGGAGGCGCAGTCTTAATTTCTGTGATGTGATGAATATCAGTAATGTTGAGTCTACACTACACCGCATGTTGTTCGTACTGAACTAGTTGTGAGTTTTCTTGTGCTATTCACAGATGGAATGGGGTCAAATTGAAGGTGGACGTTTTGCCCATGTTTGGAACGAGATTATTAAAACCTTTCGCGAAGAGGATCTCATAAGTGACAGGTTTCTAACGTGGGCTCTGCATTGACAACTAGATTATATATGAGCGCATTATTTAGTAACAACTCTTCCGTTGTTAGGTTGCCAGGATCTTTTTGTTAGTAGAGTAAGTAATTTAGTTCTTTGGTTTATTTATGTAGAACTTCATCCTTCACTTATGTTCTGATGTTCGCGTTTTAATTGGTTGATGTAAGTGCAGAGAGGTGGAGCTTATGGAAATTCCTCAAGGAGCATGGAGGGTCTCCGTTTTTCAATGGCCTTCAACCTTGTTGGCTAACCAAGTGTGTTTCTTCTACTTTTTTCTCTTCTTGGCACGTTAATAGTGTCATGATTTTGATATTTCGTTGTAGTCTCTTAGTATTTTTGTAATTTTCACACAATTCATAACAGGTGGAGAATATTTTTTCCAAGGAGAATACTCTTTAATGATTCAGAGGTTTATTTTATGGTTATCAGACAGTTCATCATTCTCACAATGTGGTTTTCTTGTGATCTGTAGATTCTGCTTGCCCTATACAGTATTCGTTACCATCGAGGAGACGATAAATCTGTTTGGAACATAATATGTAAAAATGAGTATAGGAAGTGTGCAGTGGTCGAAAGCTATGAGAGCATGAAGCATGTCATCAGAAAGATTCTCAAGGATGATTCTGATGAGTTCCATATTTTTATAGCTATTTTTGAAGAAATAGATTTCGCGATAAGGAAGGATAGGTTCACCGAAACTTTCAAGCTTCCAGAGCTGATGGAAATTCATGCCCGAGTTGTTGAATTGATTAGTTTTCTTTTGACTCGTCCCGCTGAAAAGCACAAACAGAAGGTAACTTTGACGTGTGATCTATTGACTATTGCTTGATCAGCACATTCTAAAGATGCCGTACTGTCTATTATTTTATGGATGTTACATATGATGTGTGTTTTCTACATTTTGTTAATTGCAGTCATGATATTTTGGTCTGAAAATTCGAAGATGCCTGTGGTCTGTGCTGATGTTCTGAGATTGGATTATAGTTCAGCATGCTATCGTGTGGTTATTTTGTGCAAATCAAATCTTTGTCCCTTGATAGAATTATTTTACGAGGAACTAATTTAAATTGTACTGTTCAGGTAGTGAAAGACCTTCAGAACTTGTACGAAGGTCTGCTACACGACTTTCCACTACAGCCACACATCTTTCTGGAAAGTATCAAGGCACGCGCTTCATATCCCCAAAATAACAAAGGGACTGAGCTGTTCATGGACGCTGTGGAACTCCCAGATAAAGGTGACGAGCACTTCTTTAAGAATTTAAAGAGGCTGCATACCACTCTAAGCACCAGGGACCCTTTACTGTATGTTCCGAAGGGACTAGAAGCAAGACGACGAATCTCTTTTTTCAGTAACTCGTTGTTCATGACCATGCCGCGTGCACCACAGGTTTTCATCGGGAACCAAGACCATCTGTCTACTGTCAGATTCAATCGCTAGATACTCATGTCCTGAATTGTAACTATTGATGCTCCTGCTGCGCTTGACGAGACTATTCCACCTTCTTTGTATGCACTGATGAGAAAGCTTACAATCGTAGAAATATTTTTCTGGAGTATTCAGAATATATCATAGCCATAACCCACAGTAATTATGTGCGTCTGTTCTGAAAATGAATTCTAGGTTGAAAGAATGCTGGCTTTCAGTGTTTTGACACCTTACTACAATGAGGAAGTTATTTTCAGTAAGCATCAGTTGAAAGAGGAAAACGAGGATGGCGTGACCATTCTGTTCTACCTTCAACGGATCTTTCCAGGTACTGTGAGAATGTTTTATAAACCTTGCAATCACAACATCACAGATATTGGTTACTGTGCCATGCATATCCAATATGGCTTTGTGTCTTCAAAACTCCTTTAGATTCAGTTCAATAAAACTGCATGAGTGCTCTCATGGCTAAATCCTCACAATGTTTGTTTAAATTCTTCCAGAGGACTGGTTAAATTTCCTGGAACGGATGAAGAAGCTCGAACTTAATGAGAGTGAGTTATGGGAAAAGGATGACGCTCTTGAACTTAGACTTTGGGCTTCTTTTAGAGGACAGACACTTGCGCGAACTGTACGAGGAATGATGTATTATAAAAGGTATATTACACTGGTGTTGAATGACTGGTAGTTGAATAATTCAATCTTTACACTATCTTCTCCCACTTCCTTGCATCTGTTAAGGCATATGATTTTTTGAATTTCTTGAGATCTTTTTTTTTTTTTTTTTTTTTTTTTTTTTTTTTGTTTTGGTTGGTCTTGGCCCTTCCAGATTCACTTGTATCTTTTATATCCTTCTGAGTCCTAACTTCGGGTCTTAAAGTACTCGTCTCGTACGTGCTCACAGTAGACAGTCCTTTTTGGCAGGGCATTAGAAGTGCAGACCTTTCTGGACTCAGCAACTGAAGATGAGCTACTTGGCATAAAGGAACTTCTAGAACGAGGCTCTAGCACAAACAGCAGAGGTTCTATGCGCTCCATAGGTTCTATGGGTTCTATTGGTTCTGAGCTTGAAGTTGCAGAGTTAAATCGACAACGCAAGTTAGAACAGGATCTTGCAAATGCTGCAATGAAGTTTACATACGTGGTAACCTGTCAAATATACGGGGCTCAAAAGAAGGCCAATGATGTTCGTGCAGCAGATATACTGCGATTAATGAAGACTCATACAGGACTACGGATTGCCTATGTGGATGAAAGATCTGAATCATATTTTGATGAAAATATTGGAGAGTACGTAACGCGTCAACTATATTATTCTGTTTTAGTGAAATATGATCCAGATTTGAAACAGGAAGTCGAGATTTATCGAATTCGATTACCTGGTCCTCTGAAGCTTGGAGAAGGGAAGCCAGAAAATCAGAATCATGCCCTTATATTTACAAGAGGTGATGCTGTTCAAACTATAGACATGAATCAGGTACGGTTAACTGATATATCCTCCATAAAAGACATTTGGAGATTCACTCAGCATTACTTTTATGTAATCGGAAATTTGAGAAAATTAGAGACATGATTGATACTCCACATAACAGCTTTTTATTTGGCTTAGGCAGCTGTCGTTCTAGTTTACTTCTGAGCTGAACAATTTCACTCATGAATTTCGCCGTTTGGAAAACAATCTGACTACTTATTTCCAGTACTCATGCATGAAATGATTTTACAGGAAATGTACTTCGAGGAGGCAATAAAGATGAGAAATCTGCTCCAAGAATTTACAGTGTATCATGGAACCCGAAAACCCACAATCTTGGGTGTGCGAGAGCATGTCTTCACTGGTTCAGTGTCATCACTGGCCTGGTTCATGTCCGCTCAAGAGACAGTGTTTGTCACCCTCAGCCAGCGTGTCCTCGCCAATCCTTTGAAGATTCGAATGCATTATGGTCATCCTGATGTATTTGATCGTTTGTGGTTTCTGACTCGCGGCGGGATAAGCAAAGCATCCCGGACTATTAATATTAGTGAAGATATTTTTGCAGGATTTAATTGTACATTAAGAGGTGGTAATGTAACTCACCATGAGTACATTCAGGTAATTGTGACTCAAGTGTTAGTTATTTGTTGTACTTAGATCCTTAATGTGGTTATTTACGTACTATGGAACTGAGGCTTTCTTGCGGATCATAGTGGTATAGTTTACATCGATGAGATTATGTTTACCGTGCTCTCAGTAAGCCATAAAACAGTTATTCCAGCCACAAAATTTAATTTGATCACGACAAGAAGTAGGTCACGTTGATCGTTACCATCAGTTCGCATTCATGATGCTTTTAAATATTGCTTAGGATATCTACTCATCTGGTTATATCATGCAGGCTGGCAAGGGAAGGGATGTTGGGCTCAACCAAATCGCTATGTTTGAGGCAAAGGTGGCCAGTGGGAATGGTGAACAGATTCTAAGTCGTGATGTGTATCGCCTTGGTCACCATTTAGATTTCTTTCGCATGCTCTCTTTCTATTATACCACGGTGGGCTTCTTTGTGAGCAACATGATGGTTGTACTCACTGTCTACACCTTTCTCTGGGGCCGTGTCTACTTGGCTTTAAGCGGCATAGAGGAATCCTTAACATCTGGTTCACCAGCCCTTGAAAATTCTGCTCTCACAGCGACTTTGAACCAGCAGCTTGTGGTACAGTTGGGGTTGCTGACTGCTCTACCCATGGTTGTGGAGGATGCATTAGAGCACGGTTTCACTACGGCTTTGTGGAATATGATAACCATGCAGCTTCAACTTGCTTCCATCTTTTTCACCTTTTCAATGGGCACTCGTTGTCACTACTTCGGTCGGACGCTTCTTCACGGTGGTGCTAAGGTATTCTTTAGTCATATGCGAAACTTAATTCTGGATCTGCAGATTTTTCTCTCAACCTTGTCTTTACTTCTTCGTTTCTTAGTTTGGAAATGCTGTAGGTTGAAATGTTTCACGTGATTTCACTTTCTTGCACTAACAGTGTATCCTATTTTTTGGATAGACAGCTTGAATCTGCGTTTGCATAATCATGACATACATCTCAAAGTTGTGTATTTGAATCACTCCGATGTTTTTTTTTTTTTTTTTTTTTTTTTTTCTGATTTCAATCATGAGTTCTGAGTGTCACTGCAGTCTTAGTTTTATTGTAAGCCCTCGGAGATAAACAATATTACCATTATTTTCCTTCTGTGCAGTATCGAGCAACTGGTCGTGGCTTTGTAGTTAAGCATGAAAAGTTTGCTGAAAACTATCGACTTTACTCCAGAAGCCATTTTGTTAAAGGAATAGAGCTTCTCTTGCTGCTTCTGTGTTACTTGGCGTATGGTGTATCAAGCTCATCTGGTACATACATTTTGGTCAACATCTCCAGCTGGTTTTTAGCTCTGACATGGGTAATGGGACCTTTTGTGTTTAATCCGTCTGGATTTGATTGGTTGAAAACTGTTGAAGATTTTGGGGACTTCATGCAGTGGATATGGTTCAAGGGTGATGTGTTCGTTAAAGTTGAGCAAAGTTGGGAGATATGGTGGGAAGAGGAGCAAGCTCATTTACGAACCACGGGATTGTGGGGGAAGCTACTAGAGATCGTACTTGATTTGCGATTCTTCATTTTCCAGTATGGCATCGTGTACCATTTGGGTATCACAGGGAATAACACAAGCATCTTCGTCTACCTTGCATCATGGAGCTACATGCTTTTTGCAGCCCTTCTCCACTTCATCCTTTCCAATGCTAATGAGAAGTTAGCTGCCAACAACCATGGTCTGTACCGCGCTATTCAAGCCCTTGCGATCGCTATCATTACTGCCTTAGTTGTCGTACTGTGGGTCGTAACCAACTTCACATTTGTGGACATCATAGCAAGCTTTCTTGCATTCTTACCGACAGGCTGGGGAATCATTCAAATCTGCCTTGTTTTGAGGAGGCCATTTTTGGAAAACTCCCCTCTATGGAGTACCATTGTGGCCGTTGCGCGTCTATACGATCTTGCCATGGGCATTATTGTCATGGCTCCCGTTGCTGTGCTGTCGTGGTTGCCAGGATTTCAAGCCATGCAAACTAGAATACTTTACAACGAAGCCTTCAGCAGAGGTCTCCAAATCAGTAGGTTGTTGGCTGGCAAGAGGAACCGCAATATTGACTGATTTTTTACTGACTACTGACTTTTGTTTCCGCGTCTCAGTGTAAATCTCTCTTATTAGATTCAACTCAGGGGTTTACAATCATACGGAGCTATTTTTGCAAATTTTGATATTAGGATCCTTTTTGTCAAAAGGAAGAAGTCTTACTGTATTTTGCAAATGGCCAGGATAGTCGTAGCAGAACCGATATGTTGAAATAGTCACTTCTATGAACAGGAGCCCATTTTGGAAATCGTTTGCGTGGAGAAGACGGGCTTATTTTTGAGTTCATGAGATCGCTGATATTTTACTACGCAAGCTGCTGAGAGGCTTGTATCAATGTATCAGTATGAATCCAGTTATTAAGGGGATTCCTGTCGACATGTTTCTTGTGACCGGTCATGAAGAGTTTGGTGTAAATGAATACGATTCCGTGAAGACTCGAGTGGAAAATTCAACTTAAAATTCGCATTTCCCATGTTCATTCGCATGTGAGTTCTTCATGATGTATTTAGTAGTTTTGCTCGAGACAAACGAAGCACATAGAATGGTTACGGCTATGCTTAGATTGAAGTCATTGTGTCAATGCGCTCTTCTAATTATTGTTGAATCATATATTTTTAAAGGCTTATTATGAGGAGCAAGAGCTGCAAGAAAATTTGGGAATATTCAAATAAATCGTACACACGAATTTCAGCTAATTGATCAAGCTATTTCAGTGGTACTCACTGTCAAGCTTTTAACCCCTGTGAAATAACGCCTGATAAAGCTCTGGAAATTTCTTTTATTAATCTTCTGCAAAATCAATTAGTATGTAGCATTTAAAGTTTAAGGTTGATATGCTCTTGAAGTCTTAGAAGTGATTTACTTATGTTGAGTTTCAGGTTAAAATATTGATGATGAAAAGCTAATTTGACTAATATTCCTAATGCATTTGAATAAAAAAAAACATGTAAATGAAAGTGATTATGTCCATAAACCATAATAACCTTTGCCTCAAGTACATACTCTACTAAATAACCATTTGGATTGATTTACCAAAATAAATGACTAGAAATGTAGTTTGAGTTAATATTGCTTTAATTTGTTCCAAACATGTCTAACAATGGTAGTTGGCTATGATTTTTGTTTCTTTGCATGTCTTTCAATGATCTTATCAAGCATCATCAAAAATCTCCTATGTTTAAGGCAAAGTTATCTAGTTAAGCTTCTCTAACACCTTCAAACAACTCATTGGATGCTTCTAGCTCAATAAGATGTTTAAATAGTTTGCCAATATCCACAAATTCATATTATTGATGATATTGCTAAACCATGTTTCTCAAAGCATTGGTCTCATCTTGCTCAATTGTCTCATTTTCTTGGATCATATTATGATTTGCTAATTTCCCTTCAACATCATTGAGGAGATCATCTTGCCATTCCATGCTGGTTTTATCATCTATTATTGAATATTTAACTTGTGGTCATCAAATTCATTTTTGAATAAATATGTCATCAACAATTACATCAACTTCAAGATCTACTAGTTCCTCTACTGTTTCGACATTGGATTCTTCCCATTGTTCAATAATTTTTGCTTTTCTATATTAATTTAAAATAGGTTCTGGTGATACTTCATTCCATGCTCTTATAATATAACTTCAACATCCAATAATATAGCAAGTCATTCTTATGTAACGTTGGCACTACCTTGCCTTATTTTTTATGGTTGAAATTTGATTGCTTGTTTGATTTAATTAGGTAGGTCATAAGAGTCTAACAAATCCTTTATCAAAGTATACTTGTAGTGTTTTTTTAGGATCGCAATGATTTCCATATCCATTGGTTGCTTTTATGGTGTCACATTTAGAAGAAAAAAAAAAACCACTCTAATCCCATTTTTTTCAAATGTTTCATTGTGCCCACAAGCATCATCCAATAACATGAGGACTTTTCTATGTATGTTTTTCTTGACTCTAATTGCAATGACAATATTAAGCCATAAGTTAAATCCAACTCTATCTATTAAGGTTTTAAATTAATTAATTATTCTTTATAATAAGGAATTGACTAAAGATGTTCTACAAGATGTTCTTTGGAATTCTTTTTTTAATAAGTAGTTGATTTATTTTTGTAAAAAATAGAACAAAGTACTTGGAACAAGTCTCAAATATAATCTAGTCTTGTCTACATCATAATTTAATCAAAAGTTAATCAAAAGTTAGTCATGAAAACCAATGTATGTTAGAAATATTAATATTTTGTAATATTTGCACTAAAGTAAAAAGAAAACAACTGCATTGTTTGTATACAATTCCAATGTTATACATATTAAGGCTTTAATTCAAAGATTTAGTACAAGCCAACATTTAAAGTTTGGCCATAATACAAATTACGACACTTGGGTATGTTTTTCAAAGCACAAATGCAATTATTTTTAATATGAAAAAAGAAAAGCATTCATGCTTTAACTTAACAAATCTTTAAAAAAAAAGCTAGTTTGGAGTAGTATTCCAAGTTATGATATTAAATCAAGTATATAAGTTTATATTAAAGATATTGGTGAAAAAGTATTTATATAAATAAGCAACTCTCATATTGTATTTGAAGGCATTTACTAAAGTACTAACATAAACAAAATCCATAAGTGGCTCTGAGACAGTAGCCTTTAAACTACTTCTGCCTTTAAAGATCTTAATACCATTTTGGACTTGACTACAAGATAGAGGACTTGAAAAATATTTTTAAACACTTATGTCATTTCCAAAAGGTGTAAAATATAAAAACTTGGCTACATTTTGCAAAACTTGTCCTTAAAATGAAAGTCTTGATGCTATGGTCATCAAATTTTGATTTCTTTTAGAATCATATACATTATTTTATCATTTTCTTGCTTTATAAAAGAAATGAAAAGAAAAATTAAAAATTATTGAAAACAATTCCAATATTCACTTTTAAAATCTTGAATTATAAATGAATGAAAATCAAGTCAATCTATTTTAAACCTTACAAGTGGTACTAAATATTTAAAAAAATGACTAGTATTATTCTTATTTTGATTAACTTGTCCATCAAAACTTATTTATGTTAAGGTTTGTAACTCCTATTTTTGTTTGACATGATCATTGTATATAAAAAGTGAATTATTAATAATTTTAAGTTTTTTTCTAATTATAATTTTTTTAAAAATTTGTGTGCTTAAAAGTATTGGTTTACATATAAGAAACATCAAGTGACATCGTTAACTCCCTTTTTTTTTTATAAATGGAATCTATTATTTGTTGGAAACAGTCCACTGCTTAAGATTTACAAAATGTATTTCATCCTGAATGATGGATTTGTTATTTTTATTTTTTATTCCATTTTATTTATCTTCATACATAAGTGTTTTAGAAAAAAAATGTTTGAAGCATTTTCTTTCTTACTTATTTTCTTCTTCTTCTTCTTCTTCTTCTTCTTCTTCTTTTTTATTATTTTTATTATCTATTTTTTTTTTTCTTCATCACAAAATGACCATTAAAATCATTCTTGAACCACAAAGTAAAAATCTCCAATTCCATGATATAAACTTGAATCAGTATACTTTATCTTATGTGAAGTTCATAATATCAAAGGTTTTAAAAAATATTGAATGTATGACATGTGCAACCCATGTAGACATATTTCAAACTTTACATTAAATAAAACTTTTCTTGATCACAAAAAAAGGAATGATATAAAAATCTCAAAACAACATTTCACATAACTCAAGATCTATTTTACAAAACTGAAAACAAAATACGAATTCTAATTGTATCATTTACAACAAAGACTTCCCATAAACAAAATATACAAAGTTTCCAACATACCATTCAAACCCACCTCTGGACAAAACACACAATGCTACAAGATAAGACTACAGATCCATAGTAGTAAACATCTTGTATAATACACTCATAAAAGTATATACTACCAATAGTAGATATTTTGTTGATACTTTTTGCACAAGATATTTGTACACACATTCTTGATAGATAAATAGATATAGTGGAGTGCTTTTATTAAATAGAAAGGTCCTTTTATGAAGAAGAATATGGTACTCATGATGAATGTGGTTGGTTTTTAATAGTTGCAGATCCAACAGTCAGTGGAGAAATGAATCTAGAGATCACATTTACATTTAATGATGGTTAGAATGTGTGGGTCAATTTTGTAGAAACTTCTGTATGTATATGTATATATTCACCAAACTTATGTATATATATATATATACACATTCCTCTTATGTTAGGGGGGCTAATTAAGGGCTAATTAATGAGGGTAGGGGGGGGGGGGTTAAGTGAGGGTGAAGGGGGGGAATCCATGGCTGCCCAGCCGCGTGCCAGAGCTCCGCGAGCTCAGCTTATCTGTGGCCACCCGCAATATCACGTCCGCCTGGCGCTGCCTCGCCCTCACTCCCACCGATCGAGCCTCGTGCTTGCGCACTCGCAGATCACAAGATTGTGCGCAAATTCGCCGCAATTCAATGCCACTTTGGTTGTGAACAAGTTTGCAAGCCGTGATAGTGGGTAGTGGTGGTGCTGGTTGTAGTATTTGCAGCTGTGGGTGGGTTGGGTGGGTTAGTGAATTTGCTTTGCAGGAGCAATGGACGCTGTCGTTGGTCGCACCTCATGCCCCTTGTCTCTGTCTTCCTCGTATCAATGGATTGCTGGGTCGCCATCTGCTTCTCGTGCTACAGTCGTTGTTAGAGGTGCGCTCATTAGTCCTGAGATTGATTCATCACTTGTTATAAGGACTGGCGTTCATTGCTCTGATTTTCTGCTACGAATTAGGACTTATTATCCGTCCACTTGCCACTAATAATCATACGTGAGCGATGGTGTTTCGTAGCAGAAGGCAAAGGGTCTAAATCTATTCTCTGGGGTTTCACAGGTACAAGCCGGCGTGACGGTAAACACAAAGCAGTGCGTTGCGAGCAGGTTCCAGAGTAAGCACGTTTGGGGTGATAGCTTGCAGTTTTTCGGTTGTCAGAAGCTAGTTCCCTTGCAGTCTAATAAATGTGGAGATGGTTGCAGCACCATGAATACCTCTACTCAATGGTTTGGCAATGCGTTTCTCACATAGAGTTGTGTATCAAAGTATTTCTTTTTTCTGAGCCTGGATTCATCACATCTTTTACGAGAGTTGGGCTTCAACTCATTGTTACAGTGGCAATGCGGAATTAGAAATTAGAATTGATTCATGACAAATTCCTGCTCATCAGGCTTGTGGGTTTGTCACATAGACACCACAAGTGACTCTCAACGCCGTATTAGCGGCAACCCGAGGATTTAACTCCATTGAACTAAGTGCGAGTTGGAATGACAGATGCAGCACCAGCAATTGTCAAACAATGCAGAGACGAGAGGTTATCGGTCAAGCTCTATTAGCCATGTCCATGAGCTTTGCTCCTCCAGCTCGTTCGGCCACAGACACAGGTAACAATTGGCCTTTTGTGATCCCTTGGATATTTCCTATCAGTGACATTCCTTCTTCACCTGCGAATACTCTCTACTTATTCTTCGTTTGAAAACTTTTTTTTCGTAATGTCTTAGTGGGTGTTCAATGCAGATGCTGCTACTGAATTTACGACTTACGAGGATGCAGCCGATAAATTCACATTGCTCGTGCCACAAGGTAATGTGTTGCACTGTGGAAAGGTTCACATTACTGCAAACAATGGCGATAAGAGAGCATATTTGCGAACATTTATACAGGATTATTTGCGTCACTGAATTAACCTGTGCGGTTCCGATGTCATTTTGTAATCCAGCCTGGAACAGAGGCGAAGGGAAAACGTCCGGGCAAAGGAAAGTCACGGCTTTCTATCCTGCGGATGGCGGTCTTACCAATGGTGTGTGATGGTTTGAAGTTCATGAGGACTGCACTTAGAATTACTTATTCATCTTAGCGATGTCCATACTTACCTTGCTGATAATCAAGGACTGACTAAAACCTACTGGTTTTCGGATGCCAGTAAATATAGTCATAACAGGACTCGGAGCAGATTTCACGAGTTTAGGATCCTTTGGCACGGCCGACAATTTCGCGGAGAATTTGGTAGAGAATCATCACTGAGAATTTTTGTTTGCGATTTAGAGTCGCATTGATGTGATGTAGATCTTAGCTTCGTTTGGAAAACGGTCCCTGAATGACATAATAGGAACGATAGTTTTGTGGAAATAAGACGGAACTTTGAGAACTGGCTATGATTGTGCAGGTGAACAGTTTGGACAGGAGTTGGCAGAAACCCCCGGGCCAGAAAGCAAGGCTTGTGGATTGTAAATCAAGAGCAGGTTTGTGCTAACTTCATTCTTTTCGTAAAAGCCTTCCGTACTGAAAAATTTCGGTTTTTTGTTGGATTCTATGAATAACAATGGGCTTAAATTGACGGCAAGTTTTGTGAGTTGTGAATGTCAGATAAATACTATGTAGAATACACTATACAGAGACTCGGAGAGCAGCAGCGGCACTTAGTCTCAGTTGTTGGGATTGGAAACAATGGATGGGTCAACAGATTATACACCGTCACGGGCCAGTACTTTGAGGAAGACTCAGCCAAATATAAACAAGACATTAACAAGGTATATTCGTATACAAGTATTTGGCGGAATTACTGAACAACTTGGTGTGCAATTCGACTGTATCAACCAAGTAGTCTCGCTCTGATTAACTCGCTTGTTTCCTGAACTGCTGTTTGTGAACGTCTCTCAGAATCATTGTTTGTGTGTCCCTGTGCAGATCATCTCCTCTTTCAAAATACTGTAGTTCATAGATCGAAGACTCGGGGCACAGACTGCAGACCATGGAGTTTATGACTGACCAGCATTGTGGTAAAACCTGGGATTTTCGTTCCTCATGCTTCGTGTCACAGAGAAGCTCATTGAGTTGGGAGAACTGAAGTGGTTGTGTAAACACGCTGGGGTTGTTTTGCATGTGGTGAGAGCAGATGTCCTTCGAGCAGCCATTCATAAATCTCAAGATGAGTTTATTCTGTTCTGCAGAAACTGCCGAACCTGGATTCTTGTAATAGAACCATTCAATAATTTCCAAGGTCACCATTGGGCCTGAGATATCATCACCTTTATTGCTCATCTTGCTTCTATCCAGTTCTTGTTCTATACATGTTCTGTTTGGCGAGTTTGGCGAGTACATTGCCTGTGGAGTTTTTCTTCATTAGTAATGTGAAATGTTCTTCGAAACAAATAAGATTGCCATTTCAATGATCATCTTGCTTATGCCTTCATATCATCCCTCAAGTGCATGTACATTCCAAAAAGCACTCACTACCTGAAAGTTTTTTAAAAAGATGAAGCGGGGAGATGGCGAGCAGGGAGGGTCATACAGTTTATATCCTTCGCCATGCGGCGGGTGTCAATGAACTATCCTCGAGTTTCTGGTAATGCAGCTCATACAGCACAGATAGATGGCTCCACAATCTCAAGGCACACCACCCCGTGCCTGCCCCTCCCGTAGCGGTCCATAAACACCTGATAGAATAGCTGGCCGATGGCGTGGCCTCCCGCATCGTTGGCGGGGTTCAACAGCTTGTCAGGGTCTATCACCACGAAGGTTATTCCCATGATGTATGTGAAACCAACGATGGTGGTGCTGATCACAGAGCCCAATATTCTCAGCGCCCCGTTACTGTCGGATGCATTTGTTTCCTCCGTCTTACAGGCCAGATATACCAATTAGACATTTTGCAAGTTCTGCAGGCGCGTGAGAAGCTCATCCTGCCTTTGGTATATTGCATCAGCAGGAGTAGACGTAAGAGACTGTCGCTTCATAGCCACCACGGGGAGGATGATGACCAAGGAAAACGTCCCTGCAAGGCAAGTCGTCAGTCGAGCACGATCCATCGACGAGGTACTTGGATGTGTGTAATCACCCATGTGTGAGGTAGTGTGGCCAAACCAGTTACCAAGTATTCGCCAAGCAGCAGAGAGCAGACCCAGGTAGTCGAGGTATTGGATAGGCATTCAGTTGAGCAAGCCAGTTGAGAACAAGATGCATGCGTTCACAGCCACCAACTCGTATTTGTTCGTAAAATGTCCCCCACCGTCAGCTCCACCTGTGGCTAGCAACACCATCTCTTGCAAGATCTGCACGAGGGCGAAGCTGACCCTGGATGTGCCCGCCTACTGGGCAATCATGCTGAGCTTGACCATAGAAATGGAGTGCGGCGACAACGGATCCATGATCTTTCTCTCCAGCGAGAGTAGAAAAGAGGTAACATCTTCACTCACTGAGTAAATGCACTGCTGTTGTGTGCTTGGAAAGAGCAGAATAGTTTATCAGCCTGTTAATCGTGATGCGAAGGGTTTCCATTTGGGGATTGCGAGTTGAGCGCTCCAGAAGTAGAGTCCTCCTGATGTTGGAAACCAAGAGCATATCTGGTTCAATGATTGCTAGGCAATGTCAACATTCAGTGTTTGAGGATGTTACCAATCATCCTGCTGTAAAGAGTATCAGACAGCCATGCACGAGGTCATAAAAATAAATGCATGTATTGTTTGACTATGGCATAAAAGACATTTTTAGATAAGAATACATTTTTATATATGGTAATAAAGTGTACAAAAAAGGAAATTAAGTTCTTCAATGTACCACAGAAATAGTGTTTGTCATGTATGGCTTTAGGAAACATATTAATTTTAATATTTTTGGGAAAGAAATTCAAACTTCAATTGCGCACGCATCACCTAAGAAGACACATAACTTGAAGGTGCATTATACACACTATAAAGTTATTGGCCATTTCCATTGTCTATTTCCATACCTTACTGTTCAAAGTTATTTTTCTCTTACAATATTCCTGTACATGTTTATCCTCTTTAAAGCACACGGCATTATGGGCAGAGTTGTGATTGTCTCAAGGCAATTGAAAATTACAATCAAACTCAACCAAAACGTGGCAATTAAATGATGCACTTGAGTACATCTTTATTTTATCTTATTTTATTTACTTGTTTTCCTTTTCTTTCAACATGTTTCAGTGTTTATATGATTGGATCTTGAAACTTGCATATTGAATTTTACACTTATGAGTATTACCACAGAATTGGTCTGTAAGTAAAGCTAAACTACGCAATGCAAACATGGGACACGTAAGCATGCGCTTAGATGCACAATTGTGTCACTAGTTCATATCTGTTTTCGCACCATCATTCGGTCTTTGAAGACCGAGACATGGGTGGTGGTCAATCTAGATAAAACCCTAAACTCTAAACCTGGAATTGTTCTAGCGTTGTATAACCAGCACAGTTTTGTTGTCCAGACTGCTCTAAAAGCATCCAACTTTCATTTTAGTATTGTGAGGATTGCGGCGTCGGTTAGCCTTACGCGGAACATGTGAGTGAGGGATAGCAAGGAAGTCACAGCGCTCGGATTCTGGGGTCGGTGCGGTGATGATCGATTCGCTCTACGCGTTTGCCTAGTACTGATGTCTTGACGACAGAGCCACAAACTCGCGGATTGATCCGAACATAGAATACGTAGGGAGCACCGCGGAGATTGTCTGGAGGCAGCTCGAGAACTCATGGCCATGCTTCCAACTCTGCTCTTGATGAGTATATTCGGCCACTCTAAATTCAAAAGAGCACCATGTCTGCTACTACAACCACATCTCATATGCTCAATGCAGACAAACTTGAAAGTGTATTTGGAACTTCATAAAACATGTCCGACATCAAAACATCGCGAATGATCTCTACAAAAACAATCTATTAGTATATTTGCGGCGTGTGGCACGACGCGAATTGCGACAGATTGATGAGTAGATTAGAGACTTGCAAAAATGTCGGAGGAAAGTGTCGAGATTCCGAAGCGTTTTAGCTCGAGGGAGAGTGAGGCTTCTCCCAAACCGCCGAGAAGTAGACTTCATTCCTTTCAGGTCTGTCGGTCTTGGGCACGGTGGTCCATCGGTGGACCTTATAACGAAGCCGCTTGAAGTAGAGCACGTACTGAGAGATGTCTTCCTCGACAGAGAAGAATCTGTCGATCCACAAGAGTCCGCCAGGCCGCAGCACACGATCGAAGTCGAAGAGGACGAAGTCGAGGAGCTGGTGATCGATCCATCCGTCAAGGAGCAGGGTCGTGTGCACGATGTCGAGAGTGTTATCGAAGAACGGCAGGCGTTGGTTAATTGAAATGTAGAGCGGGACCAGGCCACGGTGCGCGATAGTCTCGCTGAAAGGGGCTCCCAGATTGAGTGTCGCGGTGATAATAGTGATATCATGCTCCTTCATGCGCGCAGCAAACGTGCCGGTGCCCATGCTGTAATCCAAACCGATTCGAAGCTCCCCAGGTTTGATGGTTAGCACGTCCTCGATGAGAAATTCCGCATCTGTGGTATTTGGCACCACCCAGCGCTGCTTCTCGTGTCCTAGCAGGTCGAAGCATGGATTGCACTTGAAGAATTTCTTGCGGTGCTTATAGTCTGCGAGACAGGTGAAATTCTTGCAGTAGTAACTGTCCCACCGGAAGTCGTCGTCAGCAGGTATGGTCCAGAGGGATACATTTGTCGGCCGCCGCGCTCGGAGCATCTGTGGGCCGCGTGCTCGGCATCGTCGGCGGGGTAGAGGTTCACATCCTCTGATGATGAGCTGCTGCGCGATCAACCAATCGTCTCTGCAATCACCTCCGACTTTGTAGTCCATATACTTCTCGAGGAGAGGCTTGTTGGTCACGCAAGCGTGGCCAATGGCACCATATGTTGAATTCACTCCCATAAAATTCCTGAGCCCCCCTCTGTTCTCCATCACCTGCCATTTTGAGGAAGTAAATGCAAGGGCTCAGATAAACTTCAAATAAACTCAAGCACTTACTGTCCGAAAGTTATTAAAATTACAAAGTTACCTTAATGTATGTTCGGATTTCTTCCTGCATGAAGAAATCGTATAAGGGATCTGAGGACGTTGCCACTTCGTCGTTGTAGTCGTCATCTTGCGACTGCGCTCTGATAATCGAAGAGGTCGTTTTTGCCACGTACTTGATCTCTTGTTCATCCTTGGAGACATTTTCCAACGGCTTGTTACGAACTGACGTCGCGATCATGTCCAAGACTTCCTTCTTACTCAAATGTGTAGTCAGCAGCTTGACTATCCCGTCAAGTTCACTCGTGATCTCCGCTAACACGCTCAGGCTTCGTAACCTCTCACGCTTCAGATCTGCAAGAGCATTCTGTAGGGAGGTTGGAGTATTCTTCAGTACGATGTCTTGAGATTCAGTCTTTGTTTTGAGCACCTTCTCCTTCAGGTCAGTGATCTTGAGCGATAGGAGCGCAGAACGCGCAATATTGTCAACGTGAAGATTGTTCTCTTGGACAAACGAAGTGAGGAAGGTCAAGCTCCCCGTTATCACGAGGAGAAGAAGGCCAATAAAAACGTAAACCCAATTGGGTGTTCCTCTGTGGACGTTGCGCCCCCCCATCAAACCATGATGCTTCTGTGAATTTTTTACTGCTTCCCGCAGAGGCGACCTATCACTGCTGGCTGAAGACCTTTGAAATTCAGATTTCACAATCCCCTGGGACAGCACCTCTCGGTGCATCGTCACTACGCTAACAGGAAAAACAATCTGCACCGCACTTTTAAACTTGAACAACCTGTATTCTGGGGCTCCAGCTATCAGATTTCTCAACGTAAATCCAACCCTGTCATTACAACGACACAAAATGTATCAAGTCTGCGTTAAACTCAACACGGCGTCCCGCATTGCAACTGAAAGGTCGCCTGGCTCCAACTGAAGTTGCCAAACTTTCGGTTTCTGATTCTCTGCTACGCCATTATCCTGATCATGTCATCGCTGTTCAGCAGTCAATGCTAGCGATGTAGTTCACCTATAGGCATGTTACTTTCCAACTTGCTTTCTCGTATTTGATCTTCCCTCTCGATCCTCATTTCATAATATCAACTTGCTAAGCACTTCCCCTAACTACCTTACGTGTCTCTTTGACGTTTGACTAAGCGATGACAGTTAGTTTACCAACTTTTGCGATAACGCTAATAATTTTAATTAGATGTCATCATCACTGGTTTCTCAGACTCCCATTTCATAAAATTAGCGATCATAGCGATAATTCAGTTTCCTGGAGCAAACATAATAAGAATATTAATAATTACAACAACAACACCAATAATATAAGAGCCTAATCGGAACCCCACCTGCCCTAAGTTTCGAATTCACAGCGGAATTAATTAATTATTATCAAACGTGGCAAGGGGGTACGCAGGATCGTTACTGCATGACAAGCGCAAAGCTGCATGGAACTTGATTATACTCGCTCCTGACCTGGTCAACTACATGCCCCACTTCGTGCGCACATTCTCCGCATAGCTCGAGAATAGTCCACGTACCGAATGCTCCCAAGCTACCGAAAGCAAAGCCCGAGGGTAGGAATCTAGAGGGAACTAACCAACATCACAACGGTGACGTGAATCTACATGTCCGGACGCATGTCTCGGTTTGCGGCAATTCCAAGCGAACTTCACCTTTCTGATTCTATGTCGACGATCGATATCGCCTTGGTTAAGAATTGAGAACTCCACTTCTGCATTCGTTTACACAAATGGAGAATCAAACTCCACCACAATCGAGCAGATCTCCCAGCACGGCAAGTAAGAAACTGGATCATTCCCGCATCACACCGAAACAATGGCCCTCATCAACTTTTTGAATATGCGGACCATGTTAGGATGAATTGTTGCGTCGCAATCACACCTTTCCCCTGCTTGTATCTTACAAATGGAAGGAGACTCATTTCATTGCTACAGTAACCACAATCTATGCGAGTTAGTTGAGATCATGGCTTTTCAGGTGAGGACGTTGCTGGTGACCCATTGGTATGCAAACGGAAGTGGTCCATACGTGTAGACACGATTCTTCTGCTCATTGAATGCGATTAAGTAGTTGCGTATACGTCAACAACCTCCAAATATGGTAAGTGTGTTTCGCCAGCACACGCTCAGAACTACAGCTGGTTCAAGTTACGATTGATAAATAGTACTTCAGCCTGGACTAGGATTAGATATCAATGCGTCATGTGAGTTTGTCGCCAATATTCTCGATCAAGTACCAAGAAGATGTACAATGCTTCACGTGTAGTATAAGGTTACCATGGATACCTGACAGAGATATCTCTAGGCTCCTCAGAGTCGCATAGCGTTAATACTTCAGCACTCACTCAGCGAAACAGAAGCAGGTTTCGAAAGCAGATCATGCAACCGACAAACACAGTGCATCTTTTGGAAAGTGCTCCAGACTGATCGACCACAGTCCAGAACTCACCATGTGCAGAATGTGGAAATGAGCTTGATTCTCATCCCAGTCGATACAATATCTCCGGCGCCTGCTAGTTTAGAATGTTTATAAGTCCCGGCAACAGGAACCGGCATCCGGTGCCGTGACTCTCGCATTCGGGTGGCGATCCATGGATTCTCCATGTCGATGATCAGTTCATGTAGCAGTCGTCACGACAGATCGCGGTGAGTTCAGCAGGAACCAGGATCTGTATCGATACTCTGAGGGCGAAATGGCACATAGATGAATGGTGCATCCAATTACTCGTGCTCCTAGAATCGTGATTTTCGAGCAATTCGATCCCACCGTGTGGATTTCGAATACAACATCAAGAATCTTGTGGTGTCGGACTGAAGCCACTGCACAGGACTCATAGTCACTCCTGACGGTTTTCTTCTCTTTTTCTTCTATTTTGAAACAGGCTGTGTACACCAGATGCATTGATTAGTGAGGGGTTAAGTACCATTTATAGACCAAATGTTAATTTAGGGACCAACTAAATAGTACGGCAAGTTAGAACCAAAACTAATATGCACAATAATGCAACTGTGTAAAAACAAGGGATTCAATGGTACAAATTTGTATTGTTTAGTGCCTAACATTTTCTTGGCCATCCATGTCCTATCTCAAGGTTGGAGTAGGATTTTACCATGTGTTGGCTTGTTAATTTAGTTTGTGAAGTATGAATTTTTAAAGCATTTGAGTTTAATATAAAAGACATAATCACATTTTAGAACATATTATTTGCTCACACCATATTTCAAGATTGAAGAATAAGTTGTTTTGTTGTCTCTATATTGTTCAAAGAAAAGTTCACAAAGTAATGACCAAATACTTTTAAATCTTCTAATTTATACAAAAATTACTTGTTTCTATAAGAAGTTTGGTCAAAGGCTAGACCTTTTGGAATTAGTGACCAAAATCATTCATAATTGAAGTAATCCAATCCTAACAATTTTAGTAAGACCTAAATTATAGAATTGGCAAAGAAATGTAATTTCTTTGCATTGTTATATTTTCTATATAATAATAGGTAGTCTTCTTTAATAAATGATCTCAATTAATATTGCTTCTATAGAAATGTTGTTAATTGTATATTTAATAGACGTGTAATTAAAGACAATAAAATTATCACTAGGAATAAATCTTAGGCAATTATAATATTATTTGTAGTAATAGTGTTTGATTGGTTTAATAACTACCAAGATTGGATGATCTTTTGACTAAGATGGATAAAAAAATTCAATTAGGGTAGAAGTTGGAATTAAAAATAGCAGCTAAGATTTGAACATGAAAGAAGGGAGATATTAAGGACTTTTAGCCTTCTTTCTTCATACTCTCTATTGTATGTGCATGTATTATTATTGTTATTGTTGTTATTATTAAAGAGTAGTAGGAAAATGTAGGATATTAGAATTAGGATTGGAACAACTAAGAGGAAATAGGAGGCGAATATAAGGCCAATGCATACAATTTTACAATACTATATGACTAGTATTGAGACCTTTGGTATTGGAGAGACAAAATCATATCTTGTATATTATATCTTCTATTGTATGAATATTTTTGAGTCAAATTTGTAGGTAGAGCTTATAGAACAAATGATTATATATATGGATCTATGTTGGATCTAAGTAAATGAATCAAGTTTGGTTGTAAATTTGAATTACAAAAGTTCAAGACTAAAGACAGTATTATGAATAATAATAAGAAGGTAATAATCCAATTTTTTGGAGGTTTGACAAACATGTGGTTGTTACTATCCTTCAAGAAAGCCTAAAATCCATCTTTTGCAAGCATTTAGTTTGAATTACACATTCATTCACTTAAATTTGTAGTTTTTTTTTTTAATTTTTTAGTTTTATTTAGATGTGATTAGATTCCAAAGTTTGTGGTGTTTTTATAGGATATTATTTTTAATATAATTTTAAAAATTAATTCTAAAAGATCAAAAATATGCCTTATTTAAGTATTTTTAGAAAAATTACTTAATTTTAAAATTTTATTTTCATATATTTACAAAAAGTAGTTGTTTATTAACGTTCTTAAGAAAAATGAATTGAATGACCTTTTTCATGCAACTTGGAACTACAAAAGACTATATTCTAATATTAAATTATAAAAGTAAGTAGCAAAAAAATTATTCAATCATTGCCAACCAAGTTTTGGTTGCATTTTGATTCATTTTGAAGTGAATACTTGTTATATTGCTTAAAAAAAGTACGCTAATCATTGATAAGATAATTATTTTTTAAAAATAAGTGCCTTCATTCTTTTCTTGTTTGTTTCAAAGGATCACACAAGACAAATACCACTGAATAAAATTTAACAAAATAATTGTATTTACTTCTTAAAGCAAAAAATAGAATTATTGCCAATAAAAAGATATAAGATAGGAGTTGTTAAGTAATAAATTTATATTATAAAAAAGTCTTATTAGAGGATATTTTAATATTTTTAAGAATTAAATTTTTAAAAAATCTAAAAAAATTAAAAAGTTGAAGCCTTTACGATGTATTTGACTAAATATTTTTTATTTATTTATATAGCTTTAACTACCTAGCAATGGATTGATCTTTACATACAATAAAACTACTTAATTAGATAAAAAGAGTCTTTAAAGCCATGAATAGAGAATATAACTAAAAAATATAGTATGTTCTTATAACTATGTTTTATAGTCAGTAACTTAAAATTTAATATTTAAAAAGTTTCTTTTTTTTGGTTTTCATCAATAAATAATTTGTATTTGGAAGGTTTTCAGGATGGAATACAATCTTCTTCATAATTTTTAAAAATTAAGTCTTTATTGGATTATTTCTTCTAATAGTTCTTGATAAAACACAAGCTTATTTATCCATAATAAGTATTTGAATCCAACTAAATAATGTTTATCTTAAAATATTATTGAATATATTATCAAGAATCTTTGTAGTGGTTTAATTCCAAAAACAATATTTTGACATAATTAAAGACAATCAAGGAATGCATTACAATCATCTTTTATTTTGTGCTTCTTATTGTTCTTAATTCAATGTATCAAAAGTCCATTAAAATGAAGAATATTAATATATTTTGATTGTATTATTCTATTTTATAATAAATAATTTATAATTTATTATTATCTTTAATTTATAAGAAATTAGAAATAAGAAGATTATTAGCTGTATATATCCTTCAAAAAATAATAATTCCAAATTTTTAGTATTCATGAATTTATTTTTTATAATTTCATTGTATTCTTGGTATATAAAAGATATCATGTGATGTGTCATTAGATGCCAAATCTTGTTGGATGTATGTAATTTAATTTGGTTTAGTAGTTTTCTATCCATATAGTTTTTTTTGTTAATTGACTTTATTAATGTCAATTAGGATTTAAATGCTTAGTTAAAAAAAATCCTTTAATTTGAAATTCTTGTTAAATCAAATCTTATGAGTGATTTTTAGAGAGAGAACTTGTATTGTAAGGATTTGCTTAATTATGAAAATTTAGCCATTTAGTAAAGTTTTAGGATTTTTTGTATGTATACTGATATTTTTAGATTCTTTTTTTGTAATCTAAGATATAGCTTGACT